TAAACTGGTGCACCCTCCTCAGTTCTTGAAGTCTGGGGATTAAAAATTTGTGTAATTCTGCTGGGATCCACATGCCTAGGCTCATGGGAAGAACAGATATTCTTTCTAGAGGAGGATTCTTCCTCAAATTTCATGACAGATAAGTTATGATAACACCTTCAAATGTCAAAACATCTATTGAAGTTATGACAGAATTCAAATGTCTTCACAGTGATTCTGAATATTTTTTAAATATCAGCAAAATCCATTTTTCTCTTACAGTGTTTTGGGAATGGTTCATTAAATGCCAATGTGTACCTGTTAAGAGGATCCACCTGATATAATGCCATGGAAATATTCATAAAACCTACTTCCTAGGCAAAAATCCTAATAGTGGGAATGCCTTTAGATTTGACTAGACTGGTCACTATAAACAAATTCAGTTCCAAGTAATAATGAAAAATTTCACATTTTCAGTTAAAGCTGTTTATCATTTGTTGCTAAAGTAGGTCATTAGCAAAATCAAATCCCAAGTATCAGGTTAGAAAAAAAACTATATTTCTGAGTCTGACTCACAGACAGAAAATCTGTGACCTTTGAAGTCTTCAATTACTTCCTAGAACCTGAATTTTCACCTCCAAATTTCTTTACTGAGCTTAGTAAAGAACTTAGAGCAATCCCTCAGCTAAAGGTCATGGTGTTGTGTGGTGTTACCTGGGGTTTTATTATTTTCTCATAAACTATGACATTTATAAAATGTCAGCAGCCGAAGAAATCAGGGCTATATGAAAATGGAGGAAGAGTAAAAAAAAAACTTGTTTACTTTGGCAATTGCATCAGTAGTGGTTCAGAGTTATGAATATAATCAAAACAAATAATATTGTTTACAGATATTATTAATTACTGTCCTGGCTTGCCAGACATTCATGTTGGTACACTTAGGAAAAGAAATTAAGTCATATCATACTTTATTTAACAGAGTGCTCGTGCCGTTTGCAGTGACCACAGAAAGCTCTCTCCTGTCAGAACCAACAGTACATTCCACTTTCTGATCCACACTCATGTGGCTCACCAGCAGGAAAGTAGATGTCCCTCATGTACAGATAATGCAGAAACTGCTTTGGGGTGGAAGAGTGATAGTCACAGTGACAGATCCAAATGCTGGGGTGGCCGGAGGCAGAGGGTGAGGGGATGAAAGAGGGACAGCAGAGGGGCACGAGTGAGGAGCAGCCCTGGCTGCAGCAAGGAGCTCTTTCTCTTGTCCCTGCTGCCATCAGCTCCCCGTGCTCTCCTCACCCTGCTGCCCTGCAGCTTGGCTGCCCATTGACCCTCCATCCCAAATGCCACTTTGTGATTCTGGGAGGTGGAACAAACCCCTCTGCTTGCTAATCTCTGTGCACAGGCACACACTGTGATACCGGTGAGACCAAATCCAGCAGTGTAAAGCAATGGAAAGCCTCTGTCTTCAGTTGTATTTATTTATTGTTTGTTTGTTTTGATTTACAGCAAGATTAGGATCAGCTCAGTGACCAGCATGTAACTGGTTTTCCTACTTCAACCTGGTTAATTTACACTAATGCTTGATTGAGTATCCTCTGACCCTTGATAAATACCTACTGAAATTAGAGATATAGAGAAAAAAAAACAACTCTATATTTTAAAAATTTTTATAATCGATGTTTAGTCCCTGCAGCGAGTCAGCAAAAGGAGCAGCAGCTATACATCCTTACTCCTTAATTCTGGATTTCACATAGATGCACTGTCTGCATGCCCAGAGCAAGGCAGGAGGATAAAAGGCTTTGGTTAGAAGCAGGCAGAGACCTGGGCACAGCTGAGGGGAAGCTCCTAAAAGAAAGATTTACATCTCCTTGAAACTATTGATTTTGGTGCTTTTCTGTTGGAGTTACAAGGGAGCTGTGGCAGCCCCCCTGTGAGAGCAGGTACACATCTTCCCTCAGGTGAGCTTCAATTCAGGCAGAGGGGACACAGTCCTGGGGTATCTGATTGAAATTTTGGAAAGAGATTTGTAATCTGATGGAGAATCAAGAGTTTCTAGTGGCCTTTTCCAGAGGCAGAAGCTGATTAGAAATCAGGAGACAGAGTGGATAAAAGGGTGGAAAAGGGAGCAAAAAGGGAGCGGATAGTAGGGACGGGGAAGTAAATTGAAAAGCAGAGAAATGAAAACAGGGGGTTACAGGTATCCTACAGGGCACATGGGGCAGCTGCCTGATTATGGTTCAGCTGGCAGAGATGGAAATCAAACCAACAACCAGGATTAGGCTTGCTGGAGCATCTGGAGTCATGATAGCACAGGGGCTTTTGGTGGATTGGGGGATGTCTAGCCAGGTGAAAACCTAGCTGAAAATCCCAAGGATTTGTGATGTATTTTCAAACAAAAATTTTGTTTAATATAAAGGATTCTTTTGTCATCTACACTTCAAGTAATAACTAATTATAACTAGAAAAAAACCCCAACCTTAGGCTTATCCTTCTGTAAGGTTTTTGATGACTGGTTTGTCACTTGAATTCCAAAGACTTTTTCTCATCACATATGTTTATTGTGCAAAATATATGTGTAGATTCCTTCTGGTCTCCCCCACCCTCCACAAATTATCATATTGATAAACAAAGCTCCTCTGTAACTTCTCTTTTCAGTTAAGATCAGATCTGTGCCTTACACACACCAATGTAACTGATACTTCAGTTCTATTAGTGCAAATTAACATCTCTGTGGAGCTCATTTATTTCTGGGTATCACTATGTTATATGGAATTAAAGTGTTATTTGACATTAAATAAAAGGTGGAAAATATATTTTAACATTTTTTTCTGAAATTGGGATCTAAACTAAACTGCTCTTTGGCTTTTTAAAATACGTTTGTTATTCTATTTGCCAGCTAAAATTGGTAACTTGCATTGAGAAGCTGATCCAGGTGTGTGGTTCCTGAAAAGACAGATGAACCAAAATGAAACAGACTCAGTTATGTGTTGGCAGTGAAATGCAGCTAAACATCTTCCAGGAAACCTGGACTTCATTTTCTGCACTCTGCTAATTCAACAGATTTGTGGCTGCAATTTGTTGCCCCTTAAATTGTATTTTATGACTTTCATCACTTTGTTGGTGTGTTGGATTTGTGGTTTTTTTTTTTAGGAAGTGAGATTCTGATCTCATTATCAGTGTAAAATCCTTGCAGTTAGAGTTGCACGAGTAAGGAAATGGGGTGTGAACAGTGAGTACTGATTTTGAATTGGGTTGATGATAGCGTTATGCACTCTCTGCTATGATGTCATTGTAATGAGGTATTGAGACAAGCATAGATTTTGCTAAGATACTGATGAGTATGGAGTAGTTTTGCACCTTTCCCCACGTATATCTATTTTTTCTTGTTTAATGCAGTGGACTGATTGGTATTTTTGACCAGGCTCCCATGGTTTCTGCTAAGTGCACTGCTCTTTTATCCATCCCAGCACTCTCTCTTGTTGTCCTTGAACTGGTAAGGCAACTTCACCTGCAGAGGAAGCAGGTCCTGTAGAGATAATGTGGCTTTTGAAAGGAGAGTTGATTGTCAGCCCTTTCTTTACATAAGTAGATGTGTATAGGAGACGAACTAACTCATCATTTTGAATGCAATAGCAAAGTTCAGAGGTATATGAAATAGACAAAGTATGATCATTAAACATGATGGAAAATTTTCAGCATTTATTGCTAATATCTATGATCACACTCAGCCCTTTTTATCAATCTGGTTGCTCTATTCTTGAATTTGCAGTTTACAGATCCTCTTTACTTAGGGTCCCAAGTCCCATGTAACCTGTAGGATCAGTGCTGATTTTGTGTTGTGTAATTGACAGTATTCATCATACAGTGCTGGTTTTGCTCTCTGCTTCAGAACTTTTAAAACTGGAAAATAATATAATATTCAGCAATTTGTGATACTTTGAAGAGACAATTTATATCACCAGGTTTAAAGATTCATGACTTGATTCTATAAATCACACTAAAAAGATTGGTTCACCAAGTCAGCCCTTGTCAAATGTTCTTTGAACTGAGAATAAAGGGTTAGAAAAATAAAACCTTCATGGCCTCGCAAAGAAAAAAATGAATTACCATCAGTTCTGTGCCTCCAGCTGTACTGTCCCTTCATACCTAGGAAGTTGTGCAGCTGCCTCTGTCAGCACTTTTCCATCTGGGCCCATTCTTGCTCACCTGTGAGCTGAATACTCATGAGCACAATGTCACAGGACTACTCTGCTGCAAAGGCAGAAACTTTTTCAAATCTGTTTGTCCAGCTTCTTAAAAATATTCAAATATTTATTAGCTTCTTTCAAATTTTGTCAGATTTGACTGAAATAATTTACTCTTTCTTTGATTCATCTGGATGCTGCTGGAATTTGCTAAGATAGAGAAAATCATCCCAGATTAATGCAATGTCAGAGAGCAACCAGGAAATGACAAAAAAAAATGAGACTGAAGTCAAAAGTTCTGGAGCATAGACTATGTTGTGGGCACAGCCCTTTTCAAGACAAGAAACACATCCTATAAAGTATGAATAATATGAAAGTCAGTATAATAACATAATCATCTTCCCATGGAAAAAGAAGCAAATACCACTTGACAGAATCCAAAATATGGTGCAACTAAGAAGATGAAGCGGAGTTTGTACAAGCTGAATCTCCATAGAGCTAGAAGATCTAGCTAAGATGGAGCTTTATAAAGAAAGTGGGACTTTGGAAAGGGAGGTAATGGTAGGCAGCCAGCTGCACACTTTCAGTCACTCACTTTCTCCCACATCAAAACCTTGGTATGATTAAAGAAAATGACAGCTGATGTTTGGCTTTCAACAATGTACAAAAAGAAGACATGAATGAAGTTTTCTGAATTAATTCCTGCTGTGATGTTTGAAAGCTTTTACACAGCCTGGACTTCCCTCCACCCTCTACAAAGGTAAATTGGGAATATTTTTTATGATTTTCATTAATGAAAGACACAACCCCTCATATACCTGTTTGCCTCTCTTCCAGGATGGTACTTGAATCGTGCTGTCTGCCTTGCAGCTACAAAATACTGTTAGCATGGGCTCAGAAGAGATGCAGAGGAGATCAGCCCAGGTCAAGGTAGTCATGGACTTGAATTCTCTTTCTCTCCCCTCTGCTGCCTCATCACTCCTTGTGGCTTACCCCAAACCTGTGTTGCTGTTCTTTGGGCATAGCCTATGTGGCCACAGCCTTGGATATAAAAGTTTTCAGCCTCCTCTTGGCTGCTTCATCAGTTATTAATTATTATGTTATTCATATTATGTTGATGCTCTTACACCAGTCATTGATATTATTATATAAATTATTTCAAACACATATTTTTTCTTTCCCAGACTTGTGCAATAGAGACAAATCTAGTGCTTCTTTAAGACAGAGGAGTCCCTCTTGACATCATTCCTTATCTGTAACCCCCTGCTGACCCCCAGCACACTTAAGCCTGTACAGAACAAATAATAGCACAACACTGACCACTGTCCCCACAGCAAGGGAACAATAAACAGCAGCAGCAGAACCTCAAAAACAGCCACCTACTGTGAATTCAAGTGGAATTGTTTTAGAACACATGATCCCTCTGTCCTTAGGTGTTCAGAGAGGGATGCCTTTGATATATAGCAATGATAAGAGGCTTATTCCATTAAGCTACAGTGATTCTCACTTTCATGCATCATTTGACAGAGAAAATGAGAATTTGCAGAAATAATAGCTAATGTAAAGTATATCATGTCGCAGTGCAGTTAGACAGGTAGGAAATACAGTTTATGTATTATTTCATAGTGTGGTTTGCACATTTTATTGTATGTGCACAGAAGAGATCCTTTAGGGTTGTTTTTTGTTCCATACCAAATTTAAAACTGCTAAGAACATTGGGTTTGGATCAGGCTGTATCCTCTTAAGAGAGGGTAGGGTTTCAGTTTCACATAAATATTCCTACACAAGTCATAAAGGTTAAATTAAAACTGGATGAAGAAAATGAAAGCTGGAAACAGAATCATGAGGAAAATAAAATGGTAGTTGACTTAAATAACAGCTTCACAGTTCCACAGCCTACCTTATATCTTCAGACACAGGCACCACCTAAAAACTGAAGTAATGCTGCTGTGACATTTTTTGGGTGGGGCTCTTTCAAAAGCTTCTCAAACTAGTTCTCACCCTGCTTGCTGAAGTTCACACTGAAGAGGGATTTCTTCTGCATGCCTTTTACTTATGGGAGGATGGCATTGTAAATATCAAGAAAATGCATTTTAATTAATTCCTTTGATTCCCAAGAACAGATTGGCAATGGTTAAATCTTTGTTGCACAGTGAGTTGTGAAAGTCACTTGCAGTGGCAAAATACATCACAGCCTATTAAAATTTTCAAGCTTTTGGACACATCATAAGCTCTAAGGTGGTGGATATTTTATTCCTGCTGCATTTAGTGCATCCATAACTTGATGGCCCTTGTGAGCAATAATGTGAATTGTCTAGCAGAAGAACCATTTACTATTATTTACAAAACTGTTCTACAAGGAAATAAAGTGACTGTGGCAGCTTCTGTAAGGGAGGAAATAGTAAGCACTATTTTAAATTGTGCTATTTGCATCGTTGTGCATAAGAAATTAGGGGGTGGTGTTAGGAATTTGATTGTTTCCCACACTTCAGAAACAAGATATGAAAGAAAGGAGGGACAAAAGCTACATTTTGACACACCATGGTCTTAGATGAAGGAAATTTAGCTTAAGGAATGTTAGATTTTCTTCAATGTGCTTCGAGTATTTTTACTAATCCTCACGGTTTCCTGGAAACTTTTCCTATACTGAGAATGTTTCAACTGCACTAATAAACAATCAAAACCTTTTAAATTTATTTGAAAATTGATGGTTTTCCCCTCTGTAGCCTTTAAATAGAAGATACAAAGGAGAAAAGTTGTGAGTGTGTGTGTATCGGTTCAGTAAGTGAAGCAATATCCTGGGATGTGTGAAACCCAGGTTTATTCCACTGGCCAGTGTGGTTTGAAGGGAAAAGTTCTTTTCTATGACCATGGAGATATCACCAGAACAGAATTAAGGAACTCTGCTACATGCACAGGCAAAGTGAACAGCCAACTTGTAAAAAGGACACACATTTTTCATCAAAATTTTGTTAGAAACTTCCAAATTATTGTTATTTTGCCATAGGTAAAACAATAGAGTACTTTATTACTTCCATAAGATTTTCTTTACCTCGACCCTAACCATAAAGAATAAGCAAGTTTATATTAAAATTTTGTCAGATTTTCCAAAGGTCTTGCTCCCTTGTTTATTTGCTTATCCCTAAATTTAGCACACGGTAGTGTTGTTACAGCTCTCAATGCTCTGTTCCCTTTCTAGCCCCACACACTGTTGTATTTCAGACGGTCATGCAAAGGCTGAAAATACCTCATTGCTTTCACACTGAGGGAGAAATCTGCAAGTGGTCACAGAGTTCTAGAGTTGGAGCCTTTGCTTTTTAGATCACTTGTTCCTCTGAGGATAGCAGAGAGCAACTCTTTCTTCCTTTGGAAACTTTTGATTATGAGAGAAATACCCAACAAAGTGCTAATTCTGAGAACTGGGAAAGCCTGTGCAGCATCACTAATTTTGCTTTCCACTGCTTTCTTTGCCATGTAGCTTCCCTTGTTCTGTTACTTCCACGTTATGACAAATAACTCCTACATTTCAAAACTATGGTTCTCGTTATATGTGACAGTGATCTGCAGTACAAAACTGATTTATAGACCATGTAAGCAAAATATAGGAGCTCAAGGTGTGGTAGAAAATGGAAGAACATTAGAACTCAGTGAAAAAAAACATGCATATCTAAATAGTTCTTTCTGTACTTGCCTTGAGGCAATTTTTAACTACATTTTTTTTCAGCTACTACATTATTTGGTGTGGCAGAAACCACTAAGAGAAATAGGGAGAGCATAACTGAAGAATAATGCAAGTCATCAAAATAGTCATAGTTTTTTACCACTTTGTATACTAATTTTAGAACATTGCAGACATCATTGCTTTCCCAGGTCAGCCATATGCATCAAATATGCTGTAATAAATTTTCGTAACTTCCAGTTCTGTTGCTTACATAACTTCCTAGGAGCCATCATCATCTTGTCTTTAAAACACAGCAATATAATCCAGAACCATGATGGAAATGTTCTGAGTCTTTGACAAGGAAGTAACAGTTTAACTTCATCTTTGAAAGCTAAATATTTTAGTGGCTGATCTGATCTTTTTTTACAGTGTTTGAGAAAACTGTAGATTAGACCCTCCCCATTGTTCACAAATGTGAATTTTGTGAACTAGCTATGCTTGTGTAAACAAATTCACACAACTCCTGTGATGTGAATTCCAACCTACTTAAGAGGATCCCATGAAACTGTGCTAGGATCCTACTCCACTGTAAATACCATTGTAAGTACCATGCCATAAGGAAAAAGGTATTTTATTCTTAATTTCAGAATCCAGCCTGAGAGGTGATCAAAGAACTGAAAAATATCTCCTTATGTTAAGTATAATGGTTTCCTTAATGACCAGGAATATACACTATCTTCAAGCTTTGTAGAAGGGATTTTGAAAATTGAGTTTTCTAACTCAGGAACTCTGTCCACAGGAAGTGAAACTCCTTTTGAACCAAAAATACCAATGAAATCTTTCAATGCAATCAGCTCAGTCATCACAACCCATTGTTTAATATAGAAGACACATGCATTTTCTCTTGGCATGGTTTATGAATAAATTCATTCTGAACTGGTGAAGTTTATTGGTAAATACTCCAAATTTATTTTCTTGTTCTGCTTTTGACGTTTAAAGTACTCAAAAGTATGTGCTGTAAAGACTGTATGATACATTCTAAGAATTTGTAGCCACAAGGCTACTTTTTAAAAGATGCTGACATAAAAGTAATGTTTGTTTAGGTACCAGACTAAAATGAAAATTTAAATATCTTATTTCTACAGGAATATAAAAAAATCTCTTATTTTTATTACAGTGGAGTATTTTCAGAGGAATCTGTTGTAGGAAATAATGATTTGGCTGTCGTGGACAATGAAAACTCAGATGCTGTAAACCAGACATTCTTCCAATAAACCTGAACTGGTACTTCCAGCTGGTTTTATGGAGATGGATAACATGGATTTTATGACTGCTCTGTAGCGTGAGCTGGGCATTGGCCAGTGACAAAAGTGAATATCCTCATGGTGCCACCACCATTATCAGTGATGTTACAGCACCATCTGCAGGCCCAGCTGACACTGAGGCACGATAAAGGAATACCAGTTACACCCACAGAACAATTATTAGTTCCTCTTTGAACTAATACATACAAATACTTTAAACTATTTATGTAAACTTTAAACTAACTATGTGTAACTAAAGTACAGCCTGTAGAGCATTTCATTGCAGTGGAAACTCTTCTGTCTACTGTGTAACCTGAACATTTGCAGGAGTGCCAGAAAAGTGAGTCCTGTTTATATTCGTCCTTCAGTCCAGTATCATTAATATGATCATTTCAGTGCATGCTTATTTTTAATGGAGAATTTAAGACATAGTACAAAATCTTATTTCCCCTTGTAATGCCAAGTCATAATATGAGAAAAATCTTCCTTCCCAGAATTTCTTTAAAAAATCAGCTCAGAAGGTATTTTGGGTTTTAAGAATACTTGTAAGAAGTTCCTGTTTTGAAGTACCTTTTGCATACCAAAATTTTGTCCTTGTATGGCCCATTTTGCTGAAACCTGTCCAAATGAGACAGTGCATCTGCCCGACAGTGGCAAATATATGACAATTTGCTAAATAGCTCCTAAATTAATCCTTCTTGAGTGCCAGGACTGAGAGTAAATCCCTGGGGATCCAGCAGAAAGGTGAAGGGTTTGTCAGGAAGAGTATAGTTTAGATATTCCCACTCAGGAAAGTAAAGGTGATTTTAAATTTAATTTAACCCTGCTCTTTGCATCTTCTCATTATTTTAGAAATGAAACGTGATGATGTACTTTTGAAACAGTTATGCCAGAGGACCAGACACCTTTGCATCTGGATTTGCAGATGTCTTTGGCCAAGCTAGATAATGAGAGGTAAGTGGATCCCTATGCTGGTATTTCTTTGGAATTGCCTAAAAATGAGGATTTAATCTGTGTGGAACTCATGGCATAGTTTCCTCAGTAAGATATAATTCTTTATATTTTTTTCATTACAAGCCCTGAATGAAGATGATTTCTCCCCTCATTTGTGGCAGCTTATCTTTAAGGGTTTAGAAAAGAACCACAAACCTAAAAATACAGATGGTGAAACCCGTGCCTGGGTCAGGTAGCTCTGAACAACCCTGGGAGGTCCAGTGGTCAGCACTGCCTCGTGTCTTCTTGAAATACAGTGTAGCTTTAGATAGTGAAATTATTTACCAAGTACAGCAGCACATGGACTGGAATTCAGATGTACACAGCCACAACTGAAAGTCTCAACTAATCTGCAATCTATCCTCAGAGCACCCAAAAATCCAGTGTTTCTCAGGGTCTCTGTGTAGTGACTCTGCACAGCAGCAACTGTGTGGGAAAGGCTGCCAGCTTCTCCCCGTCTCCCCTAAACTTACCTCCCAGTCAGAACAGTCAAACAAGGTGACACTTTGATTCATCTCCTGGAGATCTGAGGAGCATTCATTGCTCATGCCTTGATGCATAGGAGTGGCATTAAATATGTGGCAGCACCCACAGGGAGATGAAGGCAGCACTCTGTCCAGGAGAGGGAAGGGATGGTTCGGTGCCTTTCCCAGCCAAGGGGTTTCTGCTTTTCCTCTCCTGTGTTCTGACATCCTGTGGTGAGTCCATGCACTGAAGAACGTGGGACACACATGGTCCCACTGGTGCAGGAATGTTCCCTGTCCCTGCAGTGAACTGAATTACTGCCAGGGGCAGATGAACAGAAACACTCAGGACTTTCCATGTGCACGTCCCCCTGTGCAGACAAAACTAGGAGCTCGTGTTCTAGCAAATAGTGAAGCTTTATAAATGTTATTTTTAGCTGAATTAAATTACAGAAGTTCATGATTAACCAAGAGATGAGGCAAGACTCCAGCATCCTGCAGCTTTTATAGGACTGCATATAAGACATTAGGAGATACTAATCCTGCAGACAAGTTGTTTATGAACTACCCACACATAAACATCCACAATTAAATTTATGTTAATTTTTGTTGTAACTGATCTAAGTAACTCCTTATTGTCAGAACTTTTAATTATAAAATATAAATTAGCTAAACATCTCTAATACAAATAGCTACTCTAATATATTCCAATTCCAATAAAAACCTAGCCAAGTACTAAAGAAAATAAAGAAAAGTGATGCAGTTCTGGTTCTTGTGCACATGATAAATTTAGTTAAGAATCCAGACACAGCAGCAGCAAACAAATATTGAATCTCTGATTCCAACCTCTGTCTAAGCTACCTTTTGTTTGTTTGTGTTAAAATATAAACTCTCTCCTTGCTGATTCCAGATCTTGAACTGAATTTTTCACACTGCCCTATGTGCATGTTAATAACAGTTAATTATAGTAAAGATAAACGAGATAGCAAATTGCTGTAGCATTATTAGATTATTCTCTGTACTATGCTCCCAAGTACATAGTTATATTTGTACTATATAACTATTGTTTATAGTTATAGATAGTTTATAGTTCATATGGATACTGTGTGATTAGATCAGTTAACAGGATAAGGGGTGAACTTTGTTCTAGCCCTTTAAACTGGGACAGCAAATTGTGTAGTAAATTACTTCTGTTACTCAACTACTGTCACTTTCCACAACCATGTGACCCAACACCTGCTAGTTACCTGTCTTTATTTCTGCAGTAAATAGCTATTCTGTTTTTGAGTATGTTTTTATGGCCCTGAAATAGAAGTGTAGAGCAATGTAGATGTGGGATGATAACCAAGGAAAAGTGTGACCAGTAGCTAATTACTCATTGCTAAGAGAATAGCTGCACAGTTGGCAGCTGCATAAAGCTGGATTCAGTCATAGTCATTTAGTCAAAGAACACAAGCAGGAAATACCCAAGGTCAACGCACCATGTGTAATAAAATCAGCCTTCACATGCAACCAAGAATGAAAGTGGAAAGTGTTGTCTTGCAAAACATGTGGAAATTAGCACTCCTGGGTACTTGGGTAGCAAAGGCACTGCCATCAATATCAGATGTTCTTTCTGGTGGAGACTGTGGGGCACTGGCAGCTTGCCACAAACTCCTCTCCTTGTCCATCTCCTTGAGAAAAGTGATGCCACTGACTCAGAGGACCCCACCTGAGGGGCATTAAAGAAGGTGACCGTGACATGAGAGAAGAGAGGGAGATACTAGGGACTGCAGGTAGAACTATTTTTCCTTCTTCACTCCCCCCTTTGCTGATAACAAATTAAACTAATAGCTGTTTTCAGATAGGACATTTTTGTTAGACTAACAAGAAATTCTTGGCTTCTTGCAATGTGCTCCTCTTTTGTCCCATGACAAGCTTTATTGCATTTCACTTCCATAAAAGCAGAGAAGGAATTGTGCTGTTTATATGTGATTAATTATATGGCAGCCATATTTCTGTATGTACTTTAAGAAAAAAATTGTATAGCACATAACTAAAGACAAGCAAATTCTAGGATCGCTGCTGCTGTTCACTTCTCTTTGGAAGTTATTTTTAAATCCAATGTGCACTTATGTAAAGAAAAAAAGAACCTAAAATTCTTCTTCAATTTTTCACATATTTGGGTTTTTTTAATTATTAATATTCCAGTGGGGAAACCAAAGTGCTATTCCTCTGTAGAATTAGCATTTTGACGAGATTACCTCAGTCTAGGTGTAATTTGAATCAGAAAAGGACATATACAAAGATTTTACACTACACTAGCAGATTGGGTTTTTTTAATTATTAATATTCCAGTGGGGGGAAAAAAGGTGCTATTCCTGTGTAGAATTAGCATTTTGATGAGATTACCTCAGTCTAGGCGTAGTTTGAATCAGAAAAGGACATATACAATGATTTTACACTACACTAGCAGGTAAATACTTTATACATTTCTTAAATTAATTCCATATGCTCCTTAAATATGTGCAATTGTTATTAATATACTTCTTCAGTGCTTTATGCAAAGTGCTTGATTCTCTTCACAGTTAATTAAGCCCTTTGCTGTGCAAATTGCTGTAATCATTTTAGCAGGCAGTGGTTTTAACGATCACAGACCATGTCTTTTACTCATAAAAATCTTCTTTTAAATTTTGAAAAACTGAATGTAGATCTTTCCAACAGTACATATCAAGATAATTTTATTTCCCCACTCTCTTGTCTCCAGTACCAATCCATGTCACACCTCAGCAGCACACGTTTAGATGAGCTCCTATGTGTAAACCAGAAAAGGGCTGCCTGAGTTCTCTGGGAAGCCACATGGTGCAGGTAAGAGGAAGCACAGGCAGCTCTCTGCTCCTTGGGTGGTTTCAAGACAGCTTTTTTTCACCCATAACCCAGTAACAAACTAGTACACACAGAAACTGCAACATCTCTGCCTTTCTCTACAACCACTGAGAGCAAGTGTCACTGCGATGCCCAACTTAATCCTCCAAATACTGGGGCACGTGAGACTGAAATTCAACAGAGGTTCAAAAATGAGGGGTGGAACAGTTACATGCTCACCTCACAGATCCAGGGCTGTCCCTGGGAGCCCCTGGACAGCCTGCAGGAGGTGGGGCTGGGACTTTGCACAGCCTGCTCTTCCCAAGGACGAGTGAGTGTGTGCTGAGCCCAAGGGCTGCAGGACACGCTGTGGGAGCTCCTCTCCAGGACACGCTGCCTTCAGCCCAGGTGGGTGCATCTCCTGCTCCTCCCCACTCCAGCTCAGCTTTCTATGGACATTTCCCCAATCTGCCTAAAAGTCGATTTAATAAGCCAAGGCTAAGTAGCAGAGATGCTGTGATGTGTTTGCCAGCTGGTGGTTTGGGGTTAAATCAGCCCCATCTCGTGCTTTCTGGCAGCCTTCAAACACACCTAGCATTTCCTCAAACGATTACTTAGACATTTGCCATTTGTGGGAGCACCTTCAATGGCCTGCACTTCAAAACTCATTGCTTTGAGAATTTGGGAAAATATCAAAGCATTGCTATGATGTGAGGGGTTGGTTTTCTTGGTTTCCTTCCAAAATCTGTGATGGGATAGGGCAGAATTAGAACATTGTGAGGTAAATTTCCACTCATGAGATCCCAAATCTGTCTTTTTCTAATAAATAAGGAAAAGATAATATAAACAGGAGTGTTAAGAAACAGTACCATATTATTTTTACTTTTTCTAATGCCTTTCCTGCTTTTCTCTACTCTTTTTCATCATCTTCTTTTTATTATTTAATAAACCTAATTATGGGGGGGAGTTTAGCACATATGAAGTAATGTTAAAATCTGAATGTAGTTGAATGTGTATGCATTTGAATAATCAGTGTATCCCAAGACAACCTAATATGCACAGCATTTTGCTACAAAATTGGTTTTAGAAAAATAATTTTCATAATTATAGTTGTTTTGGTTTAATGGTATGGGTAATTATTGTGGGTAAGTATTTCTAAAGTATTGTTCTTTTTTCTGTGGAAAAATTTAATAGGAGTATTGTATTTTGAGAGCTTCTTGGCATTTTTAAAAAGTTATAACCAAGACAAACTATAACTATTTTTGAAGACATAGGTAATCTTTCTCTTTAGCAGCACGAATTTTCTACTAATGTTGTAATAACTCAATCAAATTGAAACAATAAATATTCTAGCTGCCTATGAGAAAAGTCTTCTCTGAAGTTTTTGTTCTTTCCACCGTGGACTTAGAATTTCATCTAAAGGAATTGCACTGTCAAACCTAACAGAAGTCAAACACTTTGACAAATATTTTTAGCTTCATCAAGAAACCACCACTACAGAAGTAAAAATTGAAAATTACCTTCTGCTCTTTTATTTTCATGTGCTGAAATTCTTATATTTCAAATAATAGTCAAGCAGTTAATTGGTACAGAAGTGCCTCTTGACTTCTGATGTCGTAGTGACCATGTTCTTTCTTACATTACTTTGTTTTTTGGATCCTGGTTGTTTAATATGTTATGATGCCAAAATACACAGTTTCTAAAGAGCTAAAAACCTAAGAAGGAAGATGGTTAGAGCTAAGCTATTACTTGCTATGTTCTTAATGTTTTACAGGTGTGTGGTACATGTGAGCTGCATTAAACTGCTGACCAGTTTGTCACAGAATATCCTTATGCCCTTTTTCTCTCAACCTCCTGCAGCTGGACATTCCTTGCAGGTACTGTGGCCCTTGGAGAGCTCTCACTGGAGCAGATTTGTTCGAACAGGAGGAGGAATAGGGAGGGACCTTAACCCCCAACCCTCTTCTGCTGCTGAAGGGGCAGGAAAAGAAGTTGAGCTGAGCCCAGGAAAAGATGGGGAGGAGCTTCTGGGTTTTATTTGTGTTTCTGTTTCTCACTACCCAAATGTATTTTAAATAGCAATACGTTTAAATTCATCTTGGCCAGCTTTGTTCTGTCCTAGATGGTATCCAGTGAGTGATCTTCCTGTCCTTTACCTTGACCCATGAACTCTTTCATCCTATTTTCTCCCCTTGTCCTCCTGAGGAGAGGGGAAGTGGGTTGAGCATGTGGGTCAGTGTTTGGATGCTGGACGCAGGTTATCCACCACACATTACATTTCAATTATACAGTATCAATTTTACTCAGATTAAATTATGGTTGAGCATAAATTAAACTTTCACTTTGCATTTCTATTGCATATTCTAAAATTATTAAATCAAATCTCTTTTTACAGGCTGTCTGTTCATTGCTACAAGTGGCAGAGTATCTTTAAACTTATCAAATAGAAAGATGAATGTCCTGCTGCATTTTCCTTTGTGTTAATACACAATTCCTCTGGAAAAGACTTAAAACATAAAATCAAGAACCTGTGAGCCTGCCCTCGGATTCTCCATGGGAACAGAGGTAGGATTCCTGATTATTTCAGTCCTCCTAAATCTGTCATTTCTTTGTGGAGCAGCAAGAAACTACTAAAGAATCTACCAAAAAAAACCCACATGCTTGTATGACTGGGATGAATCTACAGTTTCAAAGATGGTGGTAAGAAGTGTTTAATTTTGCTGTTTGATTGTGAGCTGCACATTGCATCTGCTAAATAGTGTCTTGGCACAAAAAAATCTGAAAAAAACCCTGATTTACTATACTTTTGCTTCTCCCTTTCAAATACATGTAGAGACCAGAAAATCACTTGAACACAATTAACTTGCCCTTCTCTCCAGGTGGCATTCTTGGGTGTTAGCAGTTCATGGTGTGAGGGGTACATGTGATTATCTTCTTCTCCCTGTAAATTGTGGAGCATCTCCAAGGCTTAGATAAACTTCTGTATTGTTTCATTGAAGGAAGCCAAAATTTGAAACTGGTTATTATGGAAATCACAAAGAACTACCCAAAGCTACAGTATGTGCACAGATCCAGTATTTATACTTTACCTGTCTGCAGTCTGGGAGGATGGGATCCTTCAGCTGAAGCCATTTGAAATATATGGATCTAGATTAGGACAGTTGTTTAAGGCGTTCTTTACAGAGATAGTGGCTGGCAGGGGGCACTTCATCTCAAAGTCTGTCTGCATTAGTGTTTTATAGAGCCTAGACAATCACTTTCAGCCATGCATTAAATTTTTGATTTATCACAATAGCCTCTAATGCTATGAATCCATAATCAATCATAATATTTCATTAACTTGGGATGATCCAATTATGTGATAACTTTTTGTAAAGCCTACAGGAAGTCAAAATGCCTTTATATTTCATATCTATTACAATATTTAAATATAGATCTGAATCATTTCTGTTCTCTCTTATGAAATTATTGCTTTTAACAGTGTATTTATTTATTTTCATTTATTTCTTACTGTTTCTATCATACTGTGTTTTTCTTAGGAAGAAAAGCCTGAAAATTTATTAAAGAAATTTTAAATTTTTGTCTTTGATAAAAATTTTTGCAATTTATTCTAAAATGAAACAGTAGGATTCTTTTAATAATAACAAACTGAAAGGAATCCTGAAGAATCAGAAGCCTGAAGGTGGGTTTTATCTTTGTGTCACAGAGGAAAACAATTACAAATTAGCTGCTCTTCGACAAAATATCTGCACTTCTTGTGCGTCCTGTCACAGCTGCCAACATGAGCTACTGTAGTGGATTCTTCTCTCCCATGGAATGCACCAAGAGAAGTCTTCTGCTGGTTTTCATCTCTTTTACAGCAATATATCTGATTTCCTATTTTTATACTTCTCGTCACCTTGCTGCTCTACCTAAACGTGATGATCTTCACAGGGAAAGTGAAAAGAGTTTACTTGGAAAAATAGTTACAAATTTCAAACAAATCTCAGGGGGAAAAAAAGGAGAACTACCGCCTGAAAATGAGAAATCTGGAAATAAAGCCACACCCACTCCGACACAGTCATCATCTGCATTCATTATCAATGAAGAAGAGAAGTGTAAAGACAGAACACCTTTCTTGGTGCTGCTGATCTCGACGACAGCAGCAGAAGTCCAGCGCAGAAGAGCCATCCGGGAGAGCTGGGGCAGCGAAGCCGCGGTTCCCGGCGCCGACGTTGTTCGGCTGTTCATGCTCGGCAGCGGGACCGAGGGGGCCAGTGGGGACGTTCTGCTGAGGGAAAGCCAGCAGCACCACGACATTATCCAGCAGGGCTTCCTGGACACCTACAACAACTTAACTCTTAAAACTCTGATGGGCATGAGCTGGGTGGCCTCCTACTGCAGTGGCACGAGGTTTGCTATGAAGACAGACAGTGGCGTTTTTGTCAACACGATGTACCTGATTGAAAAGCTGCTCAGGCCTCTCCCGCCTCCCACACAGAATTATTTCACAGGCCATTTAATGACAGGGCACAGCCCTATTCGGAATAAAGCCAGTAAGTGGTACATATCAGAAGAAGAATTCCCTGATAACAGCTACCACCCTTTCTGTTCAGGAACTGGCTATGTCTTTTCTGGAGACCTGGCTGCAAAAATTGTAGATGCTTCTAAAATGATTAAATTTATACATTTGGAAGATGTTTACGTAGGGTTTTGTCTTAATGCAAAGGGTGTAGAAATAGTTCCACCTCCTTATGCACTGTTTAACATACACAAGGTCCCATTTTCTCCTTGTGCATACAATAAATTAATTACATCTCATCACATTGAGCCACATGAGCACATGCTCTATTGGGAAGCACTGCAAGAGAATAAACACACGTGTTAGAAGACAAAGGTCCATCCTGGAGCAGCCTAGGAACTTTCTTAGGCAATGAGCAAAGCAGAAGATGTTTTCTTAGTAGGAACAGAACATCTGTGTAATGATAACTTTCAAGGTTCACGGACATCCTGAATCAGGTTTTGTATGAGGTTGAATTCAAAGGATTTTTCCTCCATAAAGAAGCCTTTCTCTGTTGAGTGAATACTGATTTACCTTATTTAGTTTTGGAAGAAGCATGAATTAATTTTTCAAGCCAGCAAGAGACCATATCAACCCTACTGAAGAAAAAGCAAAGACAATACAATGAAACCTGTTCTTTAATTAAAAACTAATAAGTTAATGTGCTAATTTTATACTGCTTGGATGTAATTTGTCTACGTACTATTAAATGTACTCATGTGGCATTCCAGTGTGACTGAAGAAGAAAGCATACAACATATCCTGTGCTGGGGAATTAGTGCCAGAAATGTGGGCAGAAACTGCTTCTTCAGAAAATCTAACATTAGCATTTCCCAGATCTCAGCGCCCACAGTGGCTACTACTCTCTGTGGTTGTATATACAAAGAAAACTTCACACACAAGATAACACTTAATTTGTTATCATGGAGATGTAAAAAAATGAGGAACATTAAATGCTGATGAACTATCCTGTTAGTGATATAATAAATCATATTTTAGGGCATTCGGCTGTGTACAAAATGTTCTCATAGTTAAGTACAAAATAAGGTGATGCTTACAAACCTCAAAAGATAAAAGTTTCAGTCCAAATCCCTATCAGATGCACATGGAAATCAAAATGTCAATCACATGAACACCAAACACTTCAGTGAGAAAGTGAGTATACACTATATGCATCCCCAATGTCATTTTATAAATGTACATTACGGTGTTTCATGAAGAAACCCCTAAGTCCTGCAGAGCAATCTTTCTGTGCTCTTTGCAGCTCCATTCCACCCAGGACTGACAGGCAGTGGGAGCCTGGGTGCAGCCACTGAGCACAATGCATTTCTCCCTTACGGGAATTTGGTCTTAAACCCTTTGGTTAAGGAATATTATTACTCGTCTAATACCTACACAGGAAAATTTTTCTGTCTCAAATGAGTACCTGTTCATCTGGACTTTGAAGACCTTTTGCATTTATCTCGGGAAAGATACAGCTAGCAAGGACAACACTCCCTCAGGGCTTTACTGGCCCTGTGGTCTCCCAATATTTTCTGAAATTTTATAAGTTTTACAGGAAGTTGTGTTTAAAAAATGAGTACTTTTGGACATAATATGTTGATTACTTGACAGAAGCCATGACATCTTGTGATGTCTAGGGAGGCTGAACCTAGAACAGAGACTAGACAGAGCTAAAGGAATAAAGTAGGAATTTATTAAAAGGCCTCAATGGATACACAAGAGCCTGCCCAGAGCTACACCCAAGATGGACCCAAAAGGGTCACAAAAATGGATGACTGGTCACAATGTCTCTCACTTTTATAAGTTTTGGCCCATTTTCATATTGGGGTTAATTGTCCAATTACAGCTTCAGGTTATAAAGTTCTATCCTCCTTGCTCCTCTCTTCAGTTCTCTGTTGTTTATACCTTTTGGGCCTGAAAATTGTAATGGTTGTCCTTGGTTTCAAGCTGGAAAGGGATTGTTTTGTCTACCTACCTTGTGAAGAGAACTGACACTTAATATGAAGCTCAGAGCTACCCCCCTAGGCAGCACAGAATCTGAAAAACATGAAAGCTGAAGCTTAACACATCAGTTGTGTAGCTGACAACTTTACCTTACATTAAACAATGCGACGAGCTCAGCTCTGAAATCTGTTCCCTCTACTGGGTGGGGGAGCATCATGTCACGCATGCTTGTGCAGTAACAACCTGTGAAGGTGAGCAAAACCAAACAAACTCAACCCTCACATGTTCTCCTGGATGGCAATAAAGTCCTCAGGTTTGTTCAGTAATTCCTGAAGATGGGGCCCAGCAGAAAAGGACTTGGGGTTGCTGGCTGAGAGCAGATGACCAAGAGCCAGCTGGGCCAAGATGGCCAAGAAGGCCAAAGGCATCCTGGCTTTTATCAGGGATAGCGTGGCCAGCAGGACCAGGGAGGGGATTGTCCCTCTGTACCCAGCACTGGGGAGACCTTACCTCAAATCCTGTGTCCAGATCTGAGCCCCACAGTCCAAGGAAGACTTTGAGATGCTGCAGTGAGTCCAGAGAAGGACAACCGAGCTGGTGAAGGGCCTGGAGCAGAGGAGCCTGGAGGAAAGGAGGCTCAGGGGACCTTATAATGTTCTACAACTGCCTGAAAGGAGGTTATAGAAACGTGGTTGGTTTCTTCTGCCAGGCAACCAGAGACAGGATGGGAGGAAATGGCCTCAAGCTGCACCAGGGAAGGTTCAGGTTGGCCATCAGGAATAATTTCTTCATGGAAAGAGCTGTCAAGCAATTGAACAGGCTGCTGAAAGTCATGGAGTCACCATTACTGGAGGTGTCCCAAGAAATGACAGGATGTGGCATGTGGCATTCGGTGCAGTGGTTTAGTTGTCATGGAGGTACCTGGTGAAAGGCTGGACTAAATGATCTTGGAGGCATTTTCCAACCCTAATGATCCCATGAGTGTGTAAGATAACAGAGGCTTCATCACAGCCTGAAGCTGAGAGCACAAGCAGCGTAATCACTGGCATTCATTAACAGAGACTTGCCAGCTGTACAAATAAAAGGCTATAAAGACACTAATTCCTCGCTTTGTTTGGAGGCTGTGGAGTCTGCCACACCAATGTACAGTTATGGAAGCAGTGAGAGTTTATACCTCCTAGCAGGAATAAATACCAAACCCCAAACTATTAAAAGTTATATAGACTTGCCAGCAAAATGAACCAGTTCATCAGCCAGCCCATACTGGTGGAAGGATACAAGAAACAGGAGAAGTGATCTAGAGAAGAATGATCAGTAATTGGTGTTGTGGGTATTAGTCATTGGTCAAATTATTAATGTTGTACCTGTGTGCTTTAAAGGTACCAGAGCTCTGTGCTTCTGCATTCCCATTCAGGATGCCCCAATTTGTCTGAGATACCTTGGGCACATGAAGTAGTACTTTTTCATTTCCATACTTTGCCTCCCAGTCTCTCTGCTGGTTGGCATGGGCCAGTTTCAAATCATAACAGTTTAAAGTCTAGATTTTGTAGAAAATTTAGTTCACAGGAATGTAAAATGCTTTTTTTTTTTTTTTAACTTAATGAAGTAGAAATATTTGCCTTTTTAAGCTTCTTAGGAGTTTATATTTGTGTTGAATTACCATTACTGACATCCTTATATTGGCAGTGGAGGCAATAATTAAGTATATAACAATATTATCATTAATATAATAATATAACAATATTATTTTTAGTATTTTCAATATTTTCAGAAAGTAAAAAGAAACAAAATCCGGATCATCTCTCATAACTTAATATGAATTATTAACTCTTTTCCTGTATCACTGCATTGCATATTCTGTACCAAGCACAAGGAACAAGGCTGAAATTTTGAAGTGCTGCTCTTCAGACATTTATTCATTGTACATCTGTTTCAAGGTGGGTAGGGCTGCTTCTAATAGAATATCAAGAATATGCAACCATATTTTATGCATATTGCTTAGTTTTATAAATTCTATGTTTATAGCATTGCCTTGAAGACGTATTTTTATAACCTTGATGTAAAAATTGACGTGCCTGCATAGAGCTGCTTCATGTTATTAATTCATTTCCCGATTTTCGTGGCTGGTTTCTATTGGATATCAGGCAGAATTCAATACTGCAAAATCTTATGTCAGTGTTCCAAAATTACAGAATGATTGCTTTCAGCCCTAACTCTCTAGAAGCTAGAGAATTGTGTGTCGTTTCAGTTTTCCTCCACTGCTGAAGCCTAACACTTATTTGTTCTTTTGCTTTTTTTGGTGCATGGGTAAATAAAGAGGTGTAATATTCAGTAATATGCACTTGTGTACTTGGAAGTTGTTAAAGTGTAGTTGTGGTATAAAGTTGTTTGTGAGAGAGAAAACTTCTATGCTGGGAAACAACTGCTCTTTTAATTTCTGAGACAAAATGTCACAACTTCAGTAATTCATTTCCACTGCAGGTTTTACAAAGTCAAGGACTTTATGCTTTTTGCTTTATATGTGAATTCACATGTGTTGTGGAATGGAATTGGAGTGAAACAGTTAAGGAAACACACTGCATGCCATTGAAAGAGTTCTTGTGACTTTTTTATTGCAGACTAGGTAACACGTTTTCATATTTAGGTCTGGCTTTGCTGGAGATTCCCTTGAGAATGAAGCAATTATTATCAGCTAGTACTTCCCTCTCTGGGCCTGTGACTCTGGGTACCAAACTGCTTGGGCTGTGCTAAGGCAGTGCTGGGGAAGAGAGCCATCTTTGGGTTGTTGATAGAAGTGAGCCAGGAGGAAAAATACATACAGTTAGCACAGAAATAATCTTTTTTTCACAGCTTCACATTTCTCCCTCTACTGAGTGAACTGTTGCCTGCTCAAACCCCTCTGTTCAACAGTCATTTGACCCTGCTCATTCCAGAACTTCATCATCCCTTCTCCAGCACTGAGCCTTGACACTCCTGTTCCTCAGTCTGGTCTCCAGTCCAGTTAGGCTTGTGTTACATTTCTGACAAGCATGATGAGAAGGAAGTGTGTGAACATAAGATTGCCTGTAGGATGACCATTACAGAATCACCTCCCTGGCCACTGAGGGACTGTGCATACTGTCTCATTCAGGGTTAATGCAGTGGTGCTTAGGCTGGTCTTGGAAGATCAAAATCCCACTAGAATCCCACAGTCTGTCTGTGAAGATATTCCAGAGGAAGCAAACCTGTTCTGCTTTCAACATGAAAGACAGCATTATTCTGAATAGCTGAACTTTGTGGTACATTATTCATGGGTTACTAGAACTTCTGCTTCATCAGAAGCTGTTGTTAGTTTTTACTACCTTGCTTGTCTTCCAGCAGATTTTGAAGAGAACTGTGTTTGGTTCACAAAGATTGCCTTGCATTCATTTTAGGGACTCAAAGTGCCTCCAGCTGTCTTTGTGTTTGCTTTAGCAAATCTTCTGGGGCTAATGAGCAATTAGAAATTCATTAAGCCTGGAGAAATACCAGGTCACATTAGAGGCCATTATTCCAATCTAGCTGAGCAGCAATTCTGCTGAGTTAAGTGGGCAAATGGACACACCTGACTGCTTGTTTCTGCTGTTTTATGGGCTGTTAAATGTGAGGACTCAAGCCCTCGCTATGGATCCTTTTAGCAGAGTCCTTAAATCAGTGGTGTGTGCTCTACACACAGGAATTCCTGTGAACTGTGACTCAGGCTGAAAGCAGAGTATCCAGCTTGCCTGCTGGAGGATAGCCATGGTTCTGGAAGCCTCTCTGCCTCCTTGAGACTCCATTAGAGAAGCCTTCAGTATGCAACAACAGATCCTTCTAATATTTGGAATGAACATTAAGAAACTTGTATTTTTTAAAAAAATATTCAACTGGAATAGAGTCTTCTCCCTGAAGGTATTAAAAATAGAAAAGTTATTCACACTGCACATTCAAACTCTTCTGGGTAACTTCTATGACAGCTCTTGGACAAGATCTTGTTTCATATACTGTTTCTTTTTCTTTCTGAAAAAATGTAGACTTCAGTCTGTGCAGCTGTTTCAATCGTTTCTATGCTTCCCACAGTGCCCATTTGAAATACTTTATCTGTGAATAAACTAGTGAATGACTCAAGTGTGGAAAAGCACTGAACAATAATGGACTCTAAGCAGAACCACTGAATTGTTAAACTTTGGAATCATTAAGAGGAAGGCAGGAAGTAAAAGCAGATTTGCTGTCATTCCTAATATGAACGTGACTTGATTTCAGTATCCTTATAATGCTGATAAACACACTCACATCCAGGAGCTGCTTACTGGGCAACTTGGTTGTGGCTTCTGTTTCAGAAATAGAATGTACTTTTAGCAATTAATATAGAAGAGAATATAAACAGTTTTGACCTTTTTTTTTTTTCAAATAGGATATCAAGGGAGTTCAGAGAATAATAATTTTTTCCATATTAGACTACCTGCAAAATTACTTGGTTCTATGTGGACACTTGCAACAGAAGGGGGTTTATAACGTCAAGTATGTTCTTCCCCATTTCTGACAATAATCTTGGAAGATCATGAACAGACATGCTTAATTCTCTAGAAAGCTTGACCAATTGTAGTTGCTTCTTATACAAGCAGATGTTTTCTTGTATACCTCATGCCAAGGCAGAGGTTTTAGATCCATAATGCTTTTTCACACTATGTGGAATTACATTCATTTTGTGGAATGGGTTATAAATGTCTTTAATCATTAATGAGATACTTAATTTCATGTAATAACGTGTCACTTTTGGGTAATCTGGATGACTAGGCATGAAATGCTAGGGACAAACTGTAGTTCTGGCATAGTCATGAAAACGTTAAGGGCTTGTTGCTGCAATCATTCCCTAGAGGAATGCTCCCACTTCTGTGTTATAATCTACTCAGGTTTCTCTGGAAAAACCCAGCAAGGTTCAAAGGGTTGTGTTTCCCCTGAGCTACCACTGTATGCAGCTTCACACAGTCACTTCCCTGTTTTCTGCCAGTGTTGGGAGAGCTGCCTGTGTGAGATGAGAGGGACTTTCCTGCAGCTGGGCTCTTCTGTCATTGATGTGTCTCAATCTCAAGCTCTGCAGTGTGACCAGGTTGTGTCATTCAACCTGGTCTGTGTAAATCCAAGGAACAAAAACACAGGTCCTGGAGGCTAAAACAGGACTGAAACTAATCTGTGCTAATAAAAATGGGTGACAGGCTGAGACTGAAACTTATTTCAAAGACTGAATTCTTGACACACAAAGCCTTGTTGGCAGCTTTAGGTATTAACATATTTGCTACTACAAATCAGGCATTGTCTCTCTATGGGCATCAGATAATCTGACCTTGGCCAGAAGCTCAGTCACTAACATGCTGCCACCTAAATATGCTTAGGAGCATCTAAGCAAAACGTGGTGGAATCTCACATTTGTTCATGAGGGCTAAATAGCAACAGGTGTCATCATTCTGTTAGGCTGACAAAGTTCAACTTCCATACTGAACAGGCCACAGACCTGACAATCCCTGAAATCAGTTTCTTAGGCACCACATTTCTGCATTTGGTCACTTACCCACTGTCATTTTGTTTCCAAAATCTGAATAAAATATACCACTCGGTTTGCAAAATGGTTAGTGGAAACAACATGTGTATAAAACTGTCTCTGAATCTTGTGGTGAGTTACATATCAAAGTTGTGTCTCCTCCCTGGTGTCCTGTCCCACTGTATTGCAGAAGCTGTCCTTTCGGCTGGGTCCAGCATTTGGAACATAAGTCAATGGATCAGGTCGGATCAAGTACCTGCAAAAAGAAATCACAGCTGTTACTAAAACAACCTGCTGCAAGCCAGGGTAAGAGCACACAGCTGTAATGTTGAAAAAACCTGAGCAAGACTTCGACTTTGAGGGAGCTTGGTTTAGTTCCTGTGGTAGCTTTGGTTAGATTTTTTCAATTTAAAATTCAGAGTAAGAGGAGGACGACAAGTTTATAACGTTACAAATATATGTATTATATATTTATATATTGTATGTATTTTAAGTATATACATATGTAGTATAATTAGATGTTTCTTTAAATATAAGTATCTTTTTTATCTTTATTTTTTTGTGTGTGCGCTTTAACTTACACTATATCGTTCAGCTCTAATCTTGTATCTGGAGAAGGGTTGATCAGGATGTAGGAAAGGGTGTTCTGATGATCATTCATTTCATCTAGAGGACAGGAGGAAAAAAGTATCAAGTAAATTGCATTTACAAATGAATTGTGAGAAGCACTACTGACACATTAATTTGATGAAAGTGCATAGAGCTACAAAAAAATGTCTGGTGTCAGACTGATTTCAAATAAGTTTAGTAATTTGTTTTCAACTGTACTCATACTGAAACTACCTGACATGATCAGGTTATCTTTTGAGTTATCAGCTGTAAAAGCTTCCTGTTTTCTAATGTTTTAAAAATCTTCAGGTTTTTTTCAGTCGTAGCAATTTGAGTGTAACTCAATTTGAGTGTGATTTACCAATCTGTCCTTCAGCTTAGGTAAGTTTCTGGTGAGCAGGGACTCCTCTGCTTGGCTGGCATCAAGTTCAAATGATGACCAAAGTTAAATGCAGGTGTATGGCATTCTCATCCATTTCCAGATTTGGTCAACATAAACTTTTTTTTCCCTTTTTCTATTTATCTAGGAAGCAAGCACTTCCCTTTTATCATCTGTGCCAAGGGCTTGAAATGTGAAGGCTGTAAAAACGGAAACTGGTATGTCTCTTGCATTTTTAACTGTTCTCCTAATTATGGGTTGAAAGGAAGGCTGATAATTTTTATTTTTGAGGTTTAAGCTATACTTTGGTAGCTGCCATTACAATATCTTTTGTATAATTTTCTCTTGACACACTCCTTGGGCTGCTGCAGTGAAACTGGTTTTAATCTTATCAGACTAAAGAGGAGAGGCAAAAGGAGAGGCAGTGCTTCTGTGTTAAATCCTCTGTAGCTTTTTAGGAAAATGTGTAATTCAGAAACAGGTAAATGTAATCAGGTAAAGCATTTAACTATCAAGACTTTGCTGCTTTGTAGATGGTATCTAATAGTTCTAAATTTGAGTAATGAAATGAGTATTTACTTTTGGCTTTTAACTAGGATTTGAAAAGAAAAGCAGGAATGCAACAACGTTTTCTTGTTATTAATATAAACATGAGTTAAATCTACAAAACATTTTTTCCTGTTTGATCAAATGTTATTGTGGCCTGTGAAACCCCTGGAAAATATTTAGCCCTGAATTTGTCTGCAGAGAGTTGTATAGAAACATCTAAGAAAAGGCATAGAAATTATTCAGATGGGGTGTGGAATAAAGAGCCTGTAATCTCTAGAAATTCCTGGTGTTTCTAGAAAATTAAAACCCATAGTCCTGGGGTTTCTACCCAACATGCTACAGGGCCAAGGCCAGAGAAAGGCAACCTAGGCAGCTGTGGTGTATGTGTTAAAAAGTGTTACAGAGCTCTTGTCCATAGCTTAAAAAACCCCAAAACAATCCTACAAACTAAAAAGCAGCCTGACATCAGCCTTGCTGAAGAATGATTTGATGGATAAAAATGGCATCTAAAGACCTAGTGAAACATGCTTTCTAAAAATGACTTTCATATGATAATTTGGCATTATTTTTGAAAATTGTGGGGAAAAGGCAATATCCCTCACATATGAACAACTCCCTGCCTTGACATATGAGTGAACTTCACAACAGGCCTGTCTTCATCTTTATTTCAAGAGCTTTGTGGAAATATGGTGCCGCTGTTCAATGACTGAGGAATGTTTATAAATTCAGCATACACATATCATCTACTAAATATAAATGTGACTGACATGCTACCTTATAAGCCTCCCATCTCAGCATAGGAATGGGTGATAATAGAATGCATTAAAAACACTCCAAGTTACTCTTGGTAAATTTAAAAAAAAAACAACCCAAACCTAAACTAACAAAACAAAAAGCACTATCATAAACTTAGTATTTTGGTTTTGGCTCCATCATTTCTTAGAAATAAATTGACCTTGCACCATGCTAATGTTGCTATTAAAGTACTGTATAGTGGTACCGTATCCTGCTGGAGAAAGGCCCAGGTGCTTCATTCTGTTCTTCACGAGTTCAGCGAGCTCCTGCCTTTCTGACCTCCTGTAGAGGTTCATTCTCTGCTGGTTGATCTTCTCAGCAGTTTTAGCAGAGTGCCTGGGGGCCCTCCTGCTCAGGCGCCGTGCCCACTGCATGCTCTTCCTCCGCAGCAGCGGGTGGTCGGACTGGTCGCTGGATGTTGAGTTCCGGTGATTCCCGCGGCAGCTGAACTGCTCTTTGGTGTCTTTGGTGTCCTCCCATTCCTCCACGCTGATGGAGATTTGAGACTTGAAAGGAAAAGGACAAGAGAGATGAAGGGCTGTATTAGATGGAAGCAGATGAAGATGTTCTCTTTCCGACAGTGCAGTCGGACATGGGGTTTGGCTGCAATGGAGCTGAGGGGATTCAGCTCTTTGTACTTAGCAAGTGTTCCTGAACTGGGCACCTTTACTAGACTTTGACTTTTCATGTAAAAAGCTCATTTATGATATAAATGCTTTTATCAAGTGCACAAGCAGATAAGTGTTACTTTGTGCCCAATTGCACTGTGATTCTGAGAAGAGCAGATTCAGCCTTCTGATACTGCCCTTCCTGAATCTAGGAATCATTTCTGAATAACTTTCTTCCCAGTCTGCATATTTTCAGAAATCTAAGTTGTGTAACTCTTTTTGCATGTGTGTTGTGGATTCATTAAGTAATGGTTCCACTTTGGCTGCACTGTTTTCAGTACTCTCTTAAGACCACAGGTAGAACGTGCCTGTTAACTGTGTTTCAAATTTCCAGGTCTTCCTGACCCTCCAGCACATATGAAATTAGGATGCAGTGACCTTCAATGTGATTCAGGGCACCTCTTGTGAAAGCAGTAATTGATTCCTACCATAAAGACTAGTGATATTACTCATGTAGGGACAAATCCCTCCCAATAATTAAGAGCCAAAATGTGTTGCTCTGTTGCTGTGTTTTCCTTATGCAACCCAAGACCAATGGTATGTGCATGTACAAGTACTGAAATAACACAGGTGGATGGACTCTGCATTTCTACCATACAAATATTCCTAGAGAACATAAGAGGAAACATTTCAAAAGATAACTTTAGTTATAATTTTTTTCAATGTGTACTTTAGATTTAATGAGTAGTTTAATTTCTAGTTTCAAAACCCCTCCCTTAACAATCCTGAGTTCCTCTTGTGCTATTTGAATGTTTTTTATTGACACTGGAGCAAAGTGCTTGCTGGTGTCAGTACAAGCACATTACCAAGCTACTGGTCACCAATTTCAGTGTGGTGAGTGTTTAAATTAAATACATAAAGTATAAAAAATATGATGTAAATGAACAGGCAGAGCTTATGTGAACCCCTTCAAACAGAATACGCTGGTAGTGATCAGCAAATAAAGCAAATTTAACAGAGGAGCTACTGAATGTCCTTTTCCCACTAACATGATATCGAAAGCAAAATTCTGTTGACCTCATCAGTAGAATACAACCTTTCTGTAAGAAGCTCACCATAGAATCTGTGAGGTTTCTGGGGTCCATAAAACAGTATTTTATATGAGTAAGCTGGATACACTGTGAAAGACACTTGTATTTTTCACTATTAAATAAACTAGCTTTTATCTGTGTGAAAGAAAAAAGCAACAAACAAACCCAATCAAACCCCATAATTAAAAAGAACATTACAGATATTTGTCTCGTAGCACTTCAAGTAAAACTGCATTTTTAATATTCTAGACTAGGATCTTTCAATAAGCCTTGAGTAAAGACCAGCTAATTTATTGAGGCTCTTTAGCTTAGTCTGCAATAGAAAAGGGATTTATTTTTCTTTTTTTGTTAACAACCTGATTTTTTTAAGTTTTGTTACTGACTCTGCTGAGGTTCGGGAAGAAGAGAGAACCTGGATCCCTTTGAACAGGAATGCAATTTGATTTTGGTGTTTGTTAGACTGTCATTTTGGGTTTGTGGACATTTTACAACAAGGACTAAGATAGGCAGAGTACACTCCATATGAAAAAGTGCTACTTATGGGTAGGAAGGAGCTATTTGGTATGAACAAATTGGATACTAACTGAGTGTAGAGGATGGTCTTGTTTTGCCTTTCTTCCTGCCTACATTGGCAGCTCTCCTTGTCAAAAACAAATAGCCAGACTTGCTGGCAGCAGTAGTGTAAAGGCAGAGACCAATCATCATCAATCACTACAGGAGGGTAAGTCACTTCTTGAGCCAGAGATTGAATGAGAGAGGCCAAGTGAAAGAACAAGTATTTTGTTTCTGTTAATCTGTAAATCCTTAGCTTGAAGTTTTGAAACACTGACATAGGTAAGCTGAAAGCACAAAGGAAAGTGATAAAGCTAAATATTTATTTCAGCAATGATGAAGTTTTTATCCTGCCTGTTGAGAAAGCTGTGCAGAATGGCCCTTTGCTGTACGCAAGAGGAAGAAATTCAGCTTTAAAGACAAAGCAAAATCACAGCCCAAACTCTCTTTCACAACAAGAAAGTGTGTCTGCCAGTGGCAGCTGTTTACCACACAGTGCAAAATACTTCTGTGTGTCCCCCTCTGTTTCAACCAGTCTTGAACTTAATTTAAAAATATTTGTTTAACTATCATAACTATCATTGAGGCTTGATTGTTTTCATTGAATTTCATTTTCTTGTTTCATAGTAGATAAATGCATGAGAAGCATAACTGATGACATGGTGTCACTCCTGTGCCTTTAACAGGAGTGACACACTTTCCTTTAAACCCTTGGTTTTGATTGCTGTTTGTTTTTTAAAGGCAGGTTCCTGTCTCCCATATCCCACTGGGTGCCCTGAAGGGTGTGATTGCTCACTTGTGCTGCCAGACAGCTGTGACCTACTCAGGCATCATGCTCTAATAGAATGTTTCATGCCCTAAAATCTAAACATTAGGCTGGTCAACACGTGGCAGGAATGGGAATGTAGTCACAGACACACCAGTGTACATATTTGAGATGATGTTAATTGAGATGTCTGTGCTGATAACACCAAACACTGATTAACTTCAGATTTTTGCTCCTTTGCCTTGCTGCTCCCTGGGAGCTGTGTGGAAGACGTGAAATAGTTTGAAGGTGTAGTTTCAACTGTTCCATTCTGAAGCAGTGCCTTATTTTTTACCTTACTGCAAGTTCTATACTAAATTTTACTGCTCTGAAAGAATGCTACTTGCATCCAGGGCTCTAGACATGCTTTTCTGCTCCAAAAGCTGTCTAAACCCTTGTTAAGTACAGCCGTATTTTTCTTTTGTGATAAACTTGGGGATTTTGCTCCACTAGCATTTAATGTCTGTAAACTTAAGGCTTTTACCACATGATCTTTTCAGTGTAAAGATGATTTGTTACCTTCAGAATTCAACAGGAGCAGGCCCAAAAGGAACCAGAATTCCACAGGGCATCTTTGAAATTCCCAGTCCATCAGCTTTCAGATTTTAAAGCCGTTTGTGTTCAGAACAGTGTTGCTTTAAGATCCATTTACTCAAGGATGATCCATTGCACAGTTCCATTTGCTCTGAGGATTTTACTCCCACAATTGAACCTAATGTACAGTTTCTGGCTGGGATTGAGTTAGATTCTTCATAGCAGTCTGTATGGGGCTGTGTTTTGGATTTGTGATGATAATGTGTTAATAATGGGGATGGTTTTGTTAGTGCTGAGTGGTGCTTACACCGAGCCAAGGCATTTTCTGCTTCTCACCCATCCCAGCAGCAAGTGGGCTGGCGAGAGCACAAGAAGGTGGGAGGGGACACAGCCGGGACACCTGATCCCAAATGACCAAAGTGATATCCCTTATCCAGGGTGCTTTGCTCACATAGATGAAGGAATGAGATGCTTGATGGCGCTCTGCTTTCCTGGAGATGGCCAAACACCCCCTACCCATCAGAAGTGAGAAGAAACTCTTTGCTTTGATTTCACACACAGCTTTTACGTAAGTTATCAAACTGCCTTTACCTGAGCCTAAGAGAGTTCTCCCTTTCAGCCTCTCCGTTTTCTCCCCATCCCACCTCGGGGGGATCAAGCAAGCCAGCAGCTGTGTGAGGCTTGCTTCAACCAGGACACCCAGAAACAGGCAGGCAACAAGCAAATACTTACTTGTGAAGCCATTTCTCGTGACTGACAAAGGAAGGGGAAAAAGAAAACAAAAGACAATTTAAACAGAAGTGAATCTAAAGAAACAAATATGGACTATTAAACAGGAGCCACAGAAAAGCAGCCATACAGGTAATGAAAAAAGATTTTGTATCTCTTTTTTATACTTTTGAGTGTAGTGGAAATGGTTTGGGTCATAGGTGTGATAGTCATTGAGAGGCAGGCTAGATTCACTTCTTATTTAGTTACTGGGTCACTAAAAACTTGCTTTATTTTTAAAGAAGTTATGAGTATCTGTCAGTGAAGTGAGAATTTCTAATTGCATACTGAAAAAGGGAGTGCCAAAGGATAAACTGTACATATTAAATAATATTTAACTGTACATATTAAATATATTGGCATATGTTGTCCACGTGACTCAAGTTACCCATGTTATTACCTGAGAGCATCCAGGTATGTGCAGCACAAATTTAGCTTCTTCTGTATGTTTAAACTCAAATTGATCATCATGTTGAAGCTTCTCTGAGTTATAAACCTTCAAATTTATGGCTATAAGTTCATAGTTCCTGAGTAAAAAGAATGAACTACTTTTCTCTTATTTCCATTTTAAAGATCTTACCCCATGACATTCTTCTGGCTTAATGTATTGAAAAGTTAAAATGATAGCCCATGTTAATATTTCATTAGTGAAATAAGTAAAAAATTCCTTTCACTTCAAAATAAACACTTTGCACAAAGATTAGGGATTTCAGCATCTCTGTATTTGCAGGTCTCTATCCATAAAGGCCACAGATGCAGAGTAAGATGTTGTTCTTTTGTTTTCTGGGGAATAGGTAGGTGAGGGAAGATTTCCCTGCCCCTCTCTAGAAGGGAAAGGTTGTACAAATTCTGACTCGCTAAACAAGAAATTGCAGAAGTATTTGTGTGAAAATACCCCTAAAGGTCTGCAGAGACTTCAGCTTAGAAAGACCAACAACTGAATTTTCTTCACTTAATAAAGGAGGAGTGCCATTCTTCCACATTTGTCCAACACCTGACAGTTTGAAAATTCAACCAGGAGGTTTCTCCATCCTCCCTTCCTTAATCCTCTACCTGATTTAACTCAAATTCTTTGTGAGATTACTTGTGAAAGTTGATAGGAAGTAATAGCAGAACTCCTCATTCTTTTTTTTTTTTGGAGCTGAAGTTAAAAAGCCAGCCCTGAATGTGAGAATAAAGCATTGCCATGAATTTTATTTTATCCTTATTTAATGAATTCTTAAAATCTGGTATGTCCTCTGTTTTGTGGAAGGCTGTGACAGACCTTTTTTCCATATTAGCAGTAAGGCTGACTAAATGCTTCTCCAAGGAATGATTTTGATGGATTATGTTAAGGCTGCTACAGTTCAAAACACATGACTGCAGTGACAGAGTCCACTGGCTAAGCTGTAAAAGCCACCTGCAGAGAAAGTGATGGTCCACAAAGAAATATACCCATGAACTGGATGGGATCTTTTTATCACCCTTTTATAAAACTAACTTCCCCTAAATGTACTTCCTCAAGAGCAAATCTTGCCATTAAGCATTATATGCCTGAATGTTTTCTAATATTTTTCTGAAATATGGAAAACAAAATATAAGTTACCTATCTTGGAAATTAGTTTAAACTATGTCTGAGTATTTTAGAAGAAAGGACAGAGTTGTTGCTCACTGTTGCATTTGAAAGCCATGGTTTAATGAGATGGCAGTACTAATGGGCATGTAAACAAATGGATAATATATGACAGAAATCAAAGCTGCCCAAACAAATAAATTATGTTAAATAGTCAGGAAAAAGTATTAATGTCATTTTTTTATAAACAGGGAGATGGAGAAATGTACACATTTATGTGGCAAACACTGAAATACATATATAAAATATTACCACTGTTTGGCAGCTACATTTAGAGACATCCCACAATACTTCGAATAACATTAACTAGAAATGAGCAACAAGAGAATGAATTGGAAGGTCATGTGAGCAGTGAAATGCCACCTGTTTTGAGACATAGTGACACAGTGAAATGGCACCTGTTTTGTGTTTTGAGACATTGCTGGCCAGAGGGCCTGGTTAAGGGTTTGGTACAAACACTGCCGTTAGTGAGCACAGCGAGGTCAGAGCAGAGCTCGCTCCTGGCCGTGCCCAGCTGCCCCTTGGCTCCCATCCACCCATTCCCAGGAGGTGAGCACAGGAACCAAAGGCCAGGTGTCCCAGTACTGGCTCTGGGCACTGCTGGAGCCTGGGCTCAGCCTGGGTCAGTGTGACCAGCCAGGTGCCAGCAGAGGCCTCGTGCACTCTGCAGTCAAAGGCACAGAAAGCACGGTGACTGACCCACCTCAGATGTTGTGAGCTTCTGGGATTCTGTCCTGTAGACTCCAATTGGAATGTCTCCTGTGGAGGAACAAAGCTTCTGATACAGTCTGGCATATGTCCTAATCCACAGATCCTCTTCTGTGATTTTCATCTGAGCAAATAATAATAGGAGGGAGGACCTTTAATTCTTGAGCATTTATCACTTGTTCACTATGCTACTCATGGAAAAAAAACCTAAACACTAGCTGGTAATTATCCCATTGTAGTAATTATCCCATTTGCTATACAACAAATCTGCAACTTCTATTGAGGTTGTCAGACTGTTTCTTTTGCTTTCTCCCTGTTTAGAAGACATTGTAGTGGAAGCAGTTTAGCATTATGAACTTCTGGTCTTAAGATTACTTAAAATTTACATGGCAGCCTTTACCCAGTGTCTATTTTCGACTAAAAATATAAATGAATAAACTAAATATTGCCAGCAATAAGAAACTGGTGTGGACAGACTGGAATGCATGAGTATTTTGAATGTGAGTTTTGTCCACCGGACTGCAGGCTGAACATGGGGAGAGGAAGTAATACACTAAGCATAAGTGGCATAAGAAGTCTTACAATGAAGCTCATTTACTTCATTACTAGCTTTATTTTGAGATTTATGAGTTCCCTTTTAGAGATTCAATTGTACTTTCAAGTGTTCTTACATTCACTGTAACGAAGCTTAATGATTGACTAAGAAATACATGATTTATATTTAAACAACTTTTTTTAAACCATCATTGATACCTTTCTGCCATTCTTTATAGATGGTCACAAAAGCAACTTGTAAATAACTCAACTTGTAGTGATCTGTTTGCTACCCAGAGTATAGTGGGAGTAAACAGAAAAGTGGGGTTTATTTTAGTAAAAATTACTTCCATTGTGGTTTTATGTGTGTATATATGCAGCTAAATTGCGTTGGGAAATATTGACATATATAATAACAAGATTACATTTGACCTCAAACTCCTAGTCATTTAATACATGTGATCTTTATGTCAAAACTACTCATGCCCTTTATTACCCATAGGAATGGGGACTGGGAGATAACCCCAGGCTGCACAATACAGGTAGTGCTTCCTGGTTTTTAAATACTTAATTTTTACACTGGTTGTTGAACTGCCATTGCTATTTCATATAAAATGCACTATTCCTGTGTTTTCCTGACTTTCCAATTTTCTGCTGAATAGAATGCATTGTGTTTTCTCAGGGAGATTTTTTTTTTCCTATGGAACTAAAAATGGGTATGTTTTTTGTTTAATTTCCTCGTTTTCTCCCTGATGAAAAAGGAAACAGATGGCCTTCCTTGAACTTTCACAAAAGGAAATGCCATACAAAGAAAGTTGAAGTATTTTGCAGACAGTACAGAATCTTCTCTGGTACTCTGTACTGATTGGGTTTTTTTAATAACTTACAGAACAAAGAAACCCAGATCCTGGTGTGGTGTCAAGTCCCAGCAGAAGTCTTGTGATAGAAATCATATAATCTTTCACAAATGACTGCAAGATATTTTAACAGGAGAGACAGAAAAGAAAGAAAAAAAAGCTTTAATGAACAGAGGAGTAAGCAACCATTAGCACTACGTATGACTTTAAAGGAATTCTACATCTGTGTTTACAGTCCACCTCTTTAAGTATCTTAATCACTGTAGGAATACCTATCCCTTTCTTTTAGCTGAATTTACTTACATAAAGGAAGTTTTCCTAAATTGGCTCTGCATGTGCATGCAATGAATGTACAAGATTCAGCAGACTAAGGCATAACAAGGCACGGGAAAAGCAAAGATGGATGTGTCAGTGGAGTGAGGCGTTAGCCCTACGAGGTGTGAAATTATAATGAACTCTTCTGTGCAAAAGAAGCACTGGCAGATGTTAGATGGCTCTGCAGTCCTCACTGGGTCCCTCTGAGGTGACACTGCTATTATTTTATTCAAATGAATAATGTGAAGGCTCTTTCAGGCTTGATATGCGTGTTGCTCTGCTAAACAGTGTGTTGCTGTTGGTTAAAAGGCAGAGATTTAGTTTAGTGTAGAAGTGCAGACTAAGACCAGGAACGGACATGGGAGCAGCTAAAATCACGAATGTTTCTCCTCCTGGGTTGGGCTGCTGGAATGAGAGGGCCATGGGGGTGCTCTTCTAGCTGTGGCTGAGCTGTTCTTTGCACCTGTACTCACTCAGGTGTAGCAGGGCAGCATTGCAGTCCTTGGAACGCAGCACACTGTAGCTCTGCTGGCTTCATGCAAATGCATAGCTAACCAAGAGGTTTTCACAAAGAAATACCTCACAAAGGTATTACAGAAATCCTTTAGAGCTAAAGAATCTGGATTTGTTCAAACTCAGAAGCTAGATGGTTTCATTTGATACATAGTGATTCAACTATTTTAATTTTTGTACTGGTAATCTCCCAGTTGTGATGGGCTAAATACCAAGGAGCATCTCTAATAAAATTTGTTTGCAAATTAAACATGTTTGTTATCTTAGCAGCATCATTTCTGCCATGGAATTTTCATAAATTAACATGTTAATTTAGATTAACAAGTTTATTCATCAGGATTTGCAAGACCAAGTTTTCATTTTTCAGTCACTGTCCTAAAGATAATTAAAAGGCTTTTCTTTCAGCCTATAATGGGAAGCACCAGCTGAACCCTGATGTGCCCCATGTCATTTGCTCTGTTTCTTGCAGAAGAAAAAGACAGAAAATGGGACTGTGAAAAAGAAAAAAGAGCTGCTGTTATAGAATTTCTAACTTGGAGTAAGAAAGATAATTCTAGAAAAATGACAATTCACCTATGAGCAGTAACAGTTCAAAGGAGGACGGGTGGAATTAAAGTGACAATGAACGTGTGAGGCTTTTTGTTTCAAACACTTTCTGGTGAATGGTGTTACTCTGTCAAGTCATTACATGATTATTCATGCCTAGGAGCAAATATAAAATATTGAAGTCACTTATGTGCTGGCAGGGGCTGCTGATGATTAACAGATCTGTTTCTATAGATATGTCTTTGGTATTTTTACTGTATTTACTATATTATTTACTATGTTTTACTATATTTCTTTTTTAATATTGTGGTATGTGATGCTGATATTCTGGGGCATGATTATGAAATGTTTTATATGCAAATACCTTTATTTCTAGAACCTTAAAATATGTATGCCCATATACATGACTGGTTTATATATTAATGGCTTCTTGTGAAAAGTTTAGCTCCAGGAATTTTTCTGTTTATGCTGGATTTGCCTTCAGGAAATTGATTTGGAAGTAGAATTGTGAGGAAAGAACACCTTTCATGCACCAAATCACCGAGTAAATTAATTTCCCTGAAAGGACGTTTTCCACCTGAGTACTAAAGCTCCACAGGCTATCCCCAGGTAGAGGCAAGGCAGGAGGCTGCTCAGGTGAGTGGATGATCTGGGCCATGGTGATTTTCCTGCTCATGTTGTGTGCCTTGATCCTTGCAGGGTGGTGCTGGGGGCTGCTCCTTGGGCATCCTGGTGTGTCAGTGTGCAGAAATGTGGGCACTGCTGAAGGGTGAGCAATACTGGCCAATTTTCCACCCTGAAACTAGCAACTACTGCCTCAAATTGCCCTGACTGTATTTTCTGACATTTTTTCTTCAACTCTCTGAAGCTGTGCTCTTCCCTGATTCTCATGTCATCAATACTTCCTGGATTCTGAGCCACAAGGTTGAATTGCTGCCTATTCTTCCCCCACTGCCTCTTTGTAACCACTCAGTGCATCCCTTGCAAGGGCAAGCATGGCTTGCTTTACAGTGTAATGACACAGCCTCTGCAAGTCTAGTCAGCATGAGTTAGAGGAGAGGACACTATTTAGTAATTGAGGTCTTTATCAGCAAATGCAGGAGATTAATAAATTACATTTTAAAGTAATTCTGTTCCTTTCTGTTAGGGACATGATGTGTGGGCACTGTGTTTTTTATTGCAGAGTACAAGCATAATTATTCTATATAAACTGTAATTTATGTAGGCCTTATCCAAGCTATTTGACTGTGGAGAGGTACATTAACAGTATCACATTATGTAACCTCAGATTTTGTGCACTCACAGGGTGATTTTGGGATTGATAACTGAACTAATATGTTAAGCATGCTCCATTGTCTTTTGCCATTGACTGTTCCCAGTACAAACACATTTTAATGGATCCTATGGCAGAAAATAGGGTCATCTAGCAATTAAGCACAATAAAATGGATGGCAATACTTGTGTTAAGTCACATTTACTGTTCACCTGATAAAGCAGTGTGTCCAACATGCTGATGCTGAAAACCCTGCCAGCAGCAAAGGGCAGTCGAAACATAAATGCCAGATTGGATCCCTTCTCCCGCTCTTTCTGTTAAGGAATAAAACACAGAAAACATTTTTATTGACAGACTGTAACAAAAACATGAATAGATATCCTGAAAGAAGTCAAAAGTGTAAAATCCCTTTGCTCTCAACACAGTTTCTTCCTACAGGTATGCAGCATCTTTGTTCAACAGGTGCAGTTTTTCAGGCTGAAAGACATTGATCAATGTATATGTTGTTCTGTCACCACATCTCAAACTGCATGGGCATGTTCCACCCAATCAGTTTTAAAAGGATGGAAGGATATCAACTGTGCTTAGCTCCTGTTAACCTGCTCCAATTCCTTGGTGCTGACAGTGGACTGTCATCCTGGTCCAGCAAGTCTCCTAGGAACAGGAAACATGAACAGAATCTGGTACAAATGGAAGAAATGGCACAGGGGTCAATCAGTGCCCTGGTGCTGCTGGCCACACTCTTTGTGGTACTGACCAGGATGCCATTTGCCTTGTGGCCACCTGGACACACCCTGGCTCAGGCTGTCAACCAGCACCCCCATCCTTGAGCAGCTTTCCAGCCTCTCTGCCCCATCCTGCAGTGCTGCAGGAGGTGATTGTGACCCAAGGGCAGGGCCTGGCCCTTGGCCTTGCTGACCCTCATACAATGAAACCAGGCTGGTTTAGTTTCCTTCCATCTCTTCTACAGCCTTGCTTTTCCTTTATTCTTGCTTCAAAGAGAGCTGTGAGAAATATAATCCTACTTTCTTGGAAAGAGCAAATAGATTTTCTGGTGTTGATCTGGAACAACTTCCTACGAACCTGTCAGTTCAACAGTCAAATTTGTGTGCTAATTGCTTGTACAGCTTTAGAATTTATGTAAATTTTTAGAGATCTCTGTAAAATAAGATACCAATAATAAGAGGTACCAATCTCTTTTTATAACTCATAGGTCATTATTGCTTTTTATTACTTAATGTTAATTCAAATCTGATTAATACCTGAATTATATTAAAGAAAAGAAAATGGGGACAGGAAATAGGAGGCTCCATCCTGAAGGTTAAAAAAGCAACCTGGCTGTATGTAAATCACTGCATATATACTGGGCCATCCAGATAGATTTCTGCTCACCTAACATCTATGTCCTTATCCCCATGGAAGATACAAAATCATAGGACTGGGTTTGATTAAAAGACATAGGAACCTGTATTCATTTCAAAATGATCACTTACAACTTTAGAATTTTTATCAGCAACACCTGCAATATTTACTTGGAAAAAAACCATAGCGAACTGAAGTCTGAATCCTATCCAAAATGTTACAAAGGCTTTCTCTCAAGAAAGAGGGAGTGGTTATCTCATTTTTTTTCTTATGCAAGACAAATGGAGAACACAGATGTCAAGTTTAGAGTGTGGGTGTTTTGTTTTTCCTTTTCTCTGTTGTATAAAGGCCACTGCTTTCTCCTGTGTCAGTGCTGAGTTTACTGTCAGATTTATTTATCTCTAAAATGAGAAAAGTTGCAGCTGCAACAGCAGATGGACATCTGATTTGTGTATCTGTCTTCTGCAGCCCATTAGGTTGAAAAGCCAATTTTGCAAGTGTGTTTCACTGCTACCTCAAGGCAACTTGCCTGACACTCTCAGTCTTTCTGAAAATGAGGCGCTTAATGCAGAAATAACAAGCAACTGTATGTTTGACTGCTTTAGGTAATTTTTACTGGAGTTTTTAATTGCCTTTCATTTTGCATGAGGGAGTTCTGAAACATCAAATGAACTACAGCACCACCTGTGAAGTTCTTCCTGCAAATGTTAAGATGAAGTGACTGGGAAATATTAACAGCAGGCAACTGCAAGAGCAATCAAGAAAATGTTCTTTGTTTAAGATAATTTATCTACTTCTCTTTCAGCAGAGCATAGTTTGGATAGGAAGTTTATTAAATGTTCAGTTTCCAACCTATCTTCACAACTTTTGCACAATAAATTAATAAGATAGTCAAGAAGTTAAAGTATTTCCAGAATATTTGCTTGAAAAATTAAGGAGCCTATGTAAAGAAAGAAAGAACTGAGATAAAAAATCCTGGTTTCACTGCATTGAAATAGACAGCCCACAGAGAATTCCAGAATTCAACTGCAATTGGATTAAAGGAATATGTTAACGAACAATTTCAAAATCCCTGTCAGTCACAGTACACCAAGACATTAAGCTTGGTTGAAACACAGTGTTGAAGGCCCCAGCCAGCTGCTGGCCCTTGTTGCCCTGAAACATTCCAGCCAGTTCTGGCTTATCCTTTGTGGATTTGCAACGGAGGGAGGAAGTGGAGGAGCCACAGGGGCAAACCTTAAGGGGCATTGGGGGTGGCATTATCCCAGCAAAGCCGAGCCTTCTGCCACAAACAGCTCCTCTGTAACTTTTGTCTGGTTTCCTCATAGCTCTCCAGGCTATGTCTCTGTCAGAACACCACCTAAACACAAAATCAAGCCCTCATGCCAAGATAACAAGTCACTAAAGGCCACCCAGATATTTACATCTTGTGTAAATAAGTACATGTAAGTGTGATACTCAGCTGAGTAAAAGATTTACTTCTCATCCTTATCCTCTCATCTACACAGGCTGAGTTTTTGCAGCATTCAATTCCTCTGTAAGAAACCACACTGCAAAGGTAAGTTTCTATGGAAAGGCTCTTTTTTTCCATGAAGTATTTATCAAAATTACCTGTGTGAATATTGTACAGTAAATAGTGAACTGTGAAATCCCCAAAATCTAGGAAATTTATGGTACAACTAGGGAAATGCAAATTATATGTTAAATCTGTATAATGGTAATGATTTTGGCATGAGTTCAAATTGACCAAGATATGTAAGATATCTGAGGTGCACCACTTGGGAGGGTACACAAGAGAACCCAGCAATCATACTGATTGATCGACTGATAGGGAGAAAGAAAAGAATATAGTGAAGGATTTCTGCCCTTGAAGACTGTCTCAGTGATATTATTTGTCTCTCACAAACTCAGAATACAGTGGGTAGATCAGATCACCAGGGAAGATTTGTGAGAAGGAGGATTGTTCTTGAGTTTAGAGACTTAAACAGATGCACAATATTACTTCCTATGCTCCACCTGTTTTAAGTAACAGTATTTTGAACAAGCAGATTAATTAATCTCCATACAGCCACAGTTCCACAATTTGAAAATGCCAAATATACATATCAAATATGAAGGTTTTAGGTAACATTTAAGTAGTATTGCTGTCCCTCTCATCGTTCTGACAGAGAGCAATTACTGTTCTCAAACCATCCCTTTAATGGCAATATCTCCCACAGATACACAGAAATGTGTACAGAAGACACGATTAGCTCCTTTAAAACTAAGAGGAATAAAAAATACATTACAATAAAAGCTGTATGTTTTAAGCATTTAGTCAGTCTAAAGATGTTCCGTGTTCGTTGCCTGGGTCAGCCTCTTGGACAACAACATCAGCTCTAAATATTTAATATCCAAAAATATTTCACTTTCCTTGAGCAAATTCCACCAGAGTTGGCTGATTAATATTATATTGTAAAATTATTAAATCAAAACAAACTTTATTCTTAAATGAGGGCAAATCTTTGGAAAAAAATTATCTTTTATGGTAGCTCTACAAACATAAATCATTTCACTGTTTCACTTGTTTTGAAATCTTTACTACAAAATCAGAAAAAGTAATAAAAATATAACATTTAAACTGAGGGCAGAGGGAGGCAAATCTCCTTACCTTTTCCAATTTGGACAGAGCAAGAGAATAGCAGTCTTTGGCTCTGAACTGCATGAATCTCATGTTGGCTGGGTGAGTTAGCTCTGTGATAATGCTTAGGCTGGAGAACAACCTGCATTTTAAAAGAATGTCGTGGTTATACTTCTAATCATAACAGATCACAAATGTAAGGCTCTGCATAAAGCTGCAGCTTGTGCTCATGTCTGTGTTTTAAATGAAGCCCGTGAAACTGTGGTGGGTCTGGGCCCAGTGAAATGCTGGTCCAACAGCAGAGGAAAATAAAACACATTCTCAGTAGAATTCACCAAGAAGCACACACTGAGCTCACAAAATACTTAAATGCTAGAAAAAACAACTTATTTCATTATTTTTTATTTAATGATTGGTACAATATGGCAAATCTGTAGGAAACAACAAAAAATGCAAAAGTTTAAAGCTTGTACTTAGTACCTGTTTGCATGTAAAGTATGACTGATTTATGTACCCTTTCCAGTTGGTTCATCTTTTTTGAGGTCTGTTTGTATGCTGTGACTACAGTCTGAGCAATATAGATGAAAAATGACACTTGTGGGAGTTGCTGAGAAAATGTATGTTTATGTATACTTATGTTCTCACTTTGAAATATTTACATATACAAAATATTTATAACTTAACACCAATTCAGGCTTCCAGTAACTAAAAGCAGTGAAGAAAGCTCAACTGTGAACTGGCTGAATTACACAGATTTTCAAGAAGCAGACTCCAGAGCCCCTCTTCAGCACTCAGGGTTTCCAGAAACAGAAAAAAAATCATAGTTTATGCTATTTAAATAAAGAACAAGTTGGAATTGAAGACATATTATTATTTAAATCTTTCCTCTACAGATTTGTGTCAGAAAATGAGATGTACATTTGTAGCCTCTTTCGCTGACCCTGGGAATACTGATCTACATTCAGCAAAAGGTAACTGAGTACAGCTGATAACTTGTAGTTACATCACTGACGTGGCCTGTGTCTCACTTTCCATTGAAGCAGCATTTGGTAAGTTGTGTCAAATGGAATTCAGGGCACCCTTTTGCAAGTCTTGTCCTTTTCCCTCACTTTTGCAGGGAGAAACATCAGTGAATTGGCAATTCACACAAAGCCTAAATGTGGGGAAATGTATATCCAGACTGTCTGCCAATATGTGTTAATCCCACATTGTATTTGAAAACTAACACTAGAGAATTCAGAATTAGGAGATATAGGAAATTAAAATCTGATCTCATGATAAAATATACACAGCAGGAAAAAATGCAGGCTGCTATGTTTCTCTTAAAGATGGTTTCATATCCTTCATCAAGATACGAAAACTGATTTATATTAGCAAATCAGTTTCAAAATTGATATTGGTGAAATATTGTACTTACAAGTGCCTTTTAGCTGAATTAGGGGAACTTGCTCTCCAGGAAATCAGGGGGAGATTACATCTTGCCCTGGGTGTAAGGCACACTGCCTGCCAGCTTTTATCACTGGAGCAGGCTCCTTCTGGGCAAAGATCTCTCTCTTATCACCCATTCTAGCAAGAAAGGACTGGATAGGGAAGAGAAAGCCCCCACCAGCCTGATGGAAGGCATGGCTTGCTACTGGACTCATATTTGGGTATCAGACAAGCAAGAGAAACATGTAGTTCTTTCCCAAACCACAAGGACAAACCCAGAAAATAATGCAATGCCATCACAGCACCTCATTTGGTTTATCTCTGAATTGGTGATGACAGCTAGATACCAGCCAAAACACTGACCTGTTAGGTGTACTGCTGGCTTCCTGCAGGATTTGAAAGAGGCTAACTAATAAAACTTTATAGTGGTACAGAACTACTGCCTGAGGAAATGTGCTGCTTTCCTGAGGAGGGCTCACACCTGTCTACATGGACTCAGTGGTTGGCTTCCTGTTTAATTTTAAGAAGTGAAAAGCATCTTAAGGTGTAGTCCAAGACTATTAATTTCTCCTTTTATTTTTAAGCAGTGATAACTTGTTCTTAGTCAGCGTGCCCATTTGAGTCACACTTCTGTACTCCTATGTCAGGTACGTCAGTGCTGTGTCACAGTTTTAATTGGGATGGCACAGCTTGCAGCCCTAAAGGTGCTAATAACCCTGTCCTTATAAACAATGCCTCTGCCTGCCAGGGTGGGGAGCACGCTCTCCTGGCAAAGCAGGATTGCTAATTATGTAAATCAAGGAATAAGGACACAACTGGTGTGTGAGAACTGCCAGCCTGGGCTGAGGAGCCTGGGTTACTGCAGCTCTCTGACGTGGCTTTTTCAGGCCTGAGTAGCTCACACCAGGGGTGTTTAGATCAGCCTGCACCCTCGGAATGGTTCCACTGGTGAGACCAAAGTGGAATCTTTGTCAGTGATGTGGTATCATTGAAAACAGCATATTAAATCCAGGGGTTTAAAATCCCCCTTTTAACACTACAGCTGGTGTCGAGTGCTGTTGCTCTCTACCATGTCCAGTCTCTTCTTCATTACTTTCTGATATTATTAGCTATTCACAAGTAATGAAGAAGCTTTCAGTATGTTTTAAAGGTTATTTAGAAAACTATTTACCTTAGTGCAATATATGTAGTTTATCCTGTAGAACAGGTAAAGCCACTATCTTATGCCTCCTCCCAAAGCTTACTTATTTCTACAACTTTTATATAATATAAAAATGCAGTGAAATTATTATATGTGTTCTAGGGGAGGAAAAAACAAAACCACATTTATACAGTACACTATTTGTGCAAGTTTACCAAGTTTTATGAAAAAGTGTTCTTAAGTCTTAAACCAAAGTATTTCTTTTCATTTACTTTGATTGTAAATATGCAGTATTATAAGAATACTGAACCAGCCACAGAGTTTGTACACGAGTTAAAGCTGCCACCTAGTTGCAAACAGTGTGCAAGACAACTGAAGGAGTGTACAATAACATCTAATGGCATACCTATAATATGTAATTTGTTTGTTACAAAGCAAAACACAACTAGGGGAGAAACCAATTGGTTTTAGTTTAGAAGTTTTACTTTTGATACCACTCCTTTTTCCATCTGGGGATAAACTGTATTTCAGAAAAACTGACATATGTGAGAAACCTTGGTGAGTACCCTAGCACTGTGGTTAGGAGTAGATGTGAGTGATGCACAGATGAAGTTCAATTATAGGTTCAACCCCAATTTCATAGGTGTGAGTATGAATCACACACCTGTGCAAGTATCAGGTACCAATTCAGAACCTGAAATGTTGGAAAAAGACAGAATTAATGATTCTTGTGCAATGCAGATTTTGCTTCCTTTGAGCACATGCAGAAATGCAAAGAGCATTTAACTGCATTGTCACAGAGCTGCATTTACAAAAAAAAGCTCCATTGTAGTTTAACGAGCTCAGTTTTCTAAACCACTGGATTCAAATCGATTTACTGTGCATCTCTTTCTGGTCTTTTGAGGAAGGTTTGACACAGGTAAAACAGGTAATTGCAATAAAAGCAACATTGAATCATTCCAGGTCTTATTAGAATGAACACCAGGAAGTGCTAGGCTTAAGCCCCAAATCAGGGAGGCATTTCACAGCTGATTCTGTACTGTGTTTTGTTTTGTGTGAGATTTTGGGGATGTTTTCATTAAGAAAATAATATTTGTCTCCGCTCAAAGTGACACATTTTCTTCATACTCACTGAACCAAGATATTGAACACCAAGGCTTTAATGAGGAGAGTTCTCAAAAGGAACAGCAAATCTCATTTTCATCACAGCCTCCTCAGCCTCTTTACTAGACTGACCATACTATACTCTTGACTCTTGGTAAGTTACTGTCATATGTAATGTTGTATATATGTGCCTAAAAACCTAACTTTTGTGCAAAACTAAATATTCAAAATGTGAACACTTACTACTAACTTCACAGCGATGCAGTGCTTACCTTTCAGCATTAGAAGGATCTGCTTTTCATACAGGCCTTAGCATTATTGTGAATTTTCTTTTCTCAACTATCTTTTGTCCCAAGTCTTCAAGAGCAACTTTATTTTCCTTCCTGTAAACCTGACAGCTAACTTGTAAAATGATTATCTGGTTTTGGGATGCAAAGCACTTCATCTGAACTTTCAGGAGAATACCTCAGGATTCTAAGTGAATTGCTAGGCAGGGTGGGGAAAAGTTTGCCTATGTAAGACACAAATTCATGCAAGGGAAAACTTAAGTAGAATAAAAAAAAAAAAAAGTTCTTGGCACAAGAGTCATCAAGTGTTTCACAGTTAATGAGAACGTGTAGATAGATTGCAAAAATGCTTTACCTGAAGAGGGTTTGGACATTCACAATAGTCTTGGCATCTGCCATGTAGTCTTCCTCAGCACTCATCGTGCTTTCCTTGTCCACCACCACCATATTAGCTGCAAAGGTGACCCCACACCTTAGTAAGTCATCTAGGCTTTTGTGAAGAGAAAGAGGGAGAAAGAAACAAGCAACTTAAATATGGAACACCTGAAAGATCAGCCATGGATGGCATCTGCAGATCAGCTGTGTAACAACTTCTAATATAATCAAGGACAACATCTCAATTGGTAGAAGAGAATATAGAATCTACTTCAGTAGGTTCTTACAGCCCCTCTCTTTTGTTAATGATACATTTATTTCAATTTATTTTTTTTAAATAAGCCTTTAATAGTTACTTGGGAACACTTTGGCCTTATCCACTGCAACAACTTGCTCCATTGCAGTTACATCTGACAATAGAAAAACCCAAACAAATGCTCCTGGTTGGTCATTCCCACAGATTTATTTTGGTTTCAAAATGTTAATAAATTAGCTGGAATGCTCTCAGGATGCTTTTATGAGCAGCTGCAGAGCAGCAGAACTTTGTGCACAGCTGGACAATGTTTGTGTGAAGCCCAACCACAGAAAGCACTCACAGACAGCTGAGTTACAGTTTTCATCATGCCTTGTAGCTTTGTCTCCAAAATGAAGCATGCTTCAGCTGTTTTAACAACATTTTCCATAGAGTCTAAGCACTTTTTGACAAGTGTGGTGGGTTTTTTTAACAATGTATTTTGGAAGAATTTATACCATTATTTTGGAAATTGTGCAATATCTTGAATGGTTGACTACAACAAAAGAAAAACTGATTTTATGTGATCTGTGAACAACTGCAATGCATAAGTAGAAGTCCAAAACTTTTTTCTGAGTAATCTGTATTTCTGCTTTTTCAGACTTTCAGGTGATCCCTGAAAATAGCAGCATATTCTGAAATACCCAGATTTTCCGCATTTCAATATTTCATAAGCTCAACATTATTCTTATTTCAGCAGTTACATTCAGCTGGCTTGTGCATAATTTGAAAAATGCTAATGTTAAAGTATTATAATTCTAATTCTCAGCTGCCTCTAACTAAAGGTTTCTCAAGATTGACTAGATTTCTACACAACTGTGAAATCTCTTCAGTTACAGATCTCAAATCCTACCCAAGGACTGGGGGACAGGTATCTACTATTTTACATATTTTGATGAAGTGCATCTCTGCTGTGAATTTTGGTAAACCTGTTTTTTTTTGTGAGCCATCTACTTCTAACGAAAAAAGAATGGTAAATGAAAGTCATTGCTTTGGTGGTTTTCTCTCAGAGATGATGATACTTAATTGCGGGTGAACAAATGATAAATATTTTAGATACTTATAGATAGTAGGTGGTACTTTGAGAATGTATTTTATACTCCTTAAATAACAAAGGAAAATTTGCACATTTTACAATGTATTTCTTATCTATAGATCAGATCTGTTAGTTGTAGAAGACTTAAAAACATGGTGAGGAAAACACAGGGAATATGTATGAACTATGTTTTTAGAAGTATTGTTATTGATGATAACACATGTCAAAAAAACCCTCTACAAACTACAGTTGCTTATTGCACCAGGAATTAAAGTGATTTTTGCATCAGAAAAGATGCAGAAGTTCATGCTGGTATTACTGTGAACTTCTGAATTCTGAATAATCACTTATTCCAAAGACTACATGCTTCATTTTTTCAAAACTGTATTTAATTCTGAAAGAACAACAAAACACATTAGGGAGGGATTTGGCAATTTCCATTTTGAAATAAACTCAGTAAATTTAAAGAAAGTTCAATTTTTTTACATTAGTAAAATAGGTTAACATCTGAGTTATTAATTATTTTGAATACTTTGAGTATTCCCTCTTGAGTATACATTTTGATGCCATTTGGGTTTTGTCTTTTTCCTTTTATATTACCTCCTTACTAAAATTATCTCATGTTCATTTCCAGGTTGGGAAAAAGGCAACAATTTAATTATTCTCCCATTATGAGTTCTTTTTATACTTAATATGTAATTAAGAGTTAATGAAGTAGTAAATATTAATAGCCTGTGACATTTTCTTGCTTTATAGGAGAGAATGTGAAGTAAACAACCTTTCTGTGGGCTCTTTGTGAACCTTGCAAGAACTTGGTATCACCAAGGTAGACCTGTACCTCTATCACTATTAGAAGCAGGAAATAAGCTTTTTGATTTCTACAGGGGGGAATTAATATTATGGGCTTGCAGCCCCAGTTCAGCATTCACTATGTAGTGAAGCAGTTTTCTTTAAATTTACAATCTACACAGAGGAGTTTACTAAAATATTAATGAGTCCTTGCTCTTCTCTTGTTTCTGCCTGATTTTCACATTGAAATTCTGTTGCTAAACCTATATCCATAAACATATATTAGCAGAGGTGAAGACAGAAATGTAGGAGTAAGTGATAATTTAAGTAGTGGAAGATGAAGACTTTTGGACACATTCAAGACTGTTTACATCCTGTAGCTATCTTTACAAAACCTGAGTCAATGAATTCCAACAAATTTTAACTCAGTACAGACTGACACTAGAATCAGGGCTATAATCTGTTCATTTGTAGAAGCATATGAACTCACCTAAGTGTTAATCTTATGTTTTTGAACATATTAACCTGTGCTCCCTGTCATGCTTTTCCTTAATGAGCTCCTTAATAAATCAGAAATTTGAAATCCCAAATTACAGCACACAGACACAGACTATGCATGCAGAAAGCTCATCTCCAACTACAACACGCACCCACCAGAACATGCAATGACGAGACACACAACAAACCACTGAGACTACAAAGGTAAGTTTGCTAACAGTTATTTCACCTACTTGTCGATAGAGCCCACCATGTAGTAAACCATTGGAAACCAACAGATTGCATCCAGAAAATGCATATCTGGCCTAAGCAGCAGATGGAATTACAAAATGAAACACAGTATCACAACAGCAGCATCTCTTTGAAAATATTTTAATCAACTGGTAGTTTGGGGTTTTTTTTAAAAAATAACTTTCTTAAACTTTGGCATTATGATGTCAGTCTAAGCAGGAAATAGGTTTTCAGAAAGCTGTGAATCAACAGTTTGCTGTGATCATAGAGAATAATCAGAATTAACATGCTTATATTAATAAATGCACCTCTAAAATCAGAAATGTTATGGCACAGGACAATTCCAAATGTAAGAACAAATGAGTAACGTCAAAGACACACTACCAGGTTATACTCCAATGGATGTCTCAGGAGGACTTAAAATAAGCATCAACAATGCTTAATTAAAATGTAAAGTGCAAATCAAATCATCATTTGGGTTTTGTGACACCTACTGCTTTCAAGCCTACTCCCTTTGAGAGGAGTCACTGCAAACGCTGTATAGAGAGAGACAACAGTAAAGGTGTTGGTTTAATTAGCAAGCAGAGCTTTTACTTTGCATTAATCAATCAGAAGTGGGTTTAGCTATAAAGTGACACAACAGCATTGAAGTGTGTGAAGTTGGGCACTGTGCTGGCAAAAGGAGCTAGCACTAGAGGGCCCCCTGTGCCCACGGCTTTGCTCTCACTGTCAGTGGAAGTGATTTAGCCTCATTTAGGCTTCTCAGTTTGTGTAATTCACTGTATGCCACAGTACCTACATAAAAACCTTCTGTTTTGCCAACACAGGTGACTAAGGAGCTGCCTGAGGGAAAGTGGGACACTTCACAGCAGGTCTTTGTAGAAAAAAAAAATCACTTAAAGTGAACAGATCTGCACAAATGGAAGTGTCAGCCCTGGAATCACAACCTACAAGACATTTTTGCTTTCTTAGCTTGTTCTCTTTTCTCTGTACAGGTAACCTCCATTTCTGTGTCTTTCAAACTGTGTTTTAAGTAGCTGAGCTGTAGCAAAGTATTGCAAAAAACCCCAAAAAGCTAATTCGTTATCAGATTATATATGAACCAGTCTTGACATAAGCAAATTTGTTTGAAATACTAAAACCAAGCAAATGTGGAAAATTTCAGCAGTCACCAAGAGATATAAAAGTAACAACAATACTGCAGGTTTAAAATTTCATCCATGGCTTTAAATAATTTTAGATAAAATGTGTCTGTGGGTGTCCTTTTGGCTTAAAGAACTGTTTATCTTTGAGTGTAGTTATTAAAAATATACCTAACTAGTCCAGGCCACTAAGTGCATTGTGTTAAGTAGGTTAGTGCTGTCATGTAGCTGTGAAACTGTTATACAGCTTGCTTTTTACAGTGTTTATTAAGCTATTTAATTTTAGCAGTAACATTCACATTTTTGGGGGTAATATAAAAAAAAACTTAGCTGAAACATTGGCCATGAAGAATATTTAAGTTTACTATGGCCATTAACAGTCAATAAAAGGTCAATTTCTTATATGACAGTGAACATGCAGTATGATTTTTGTCACTAACTTTTCTCAAAGATGAGTGTGCCATAATGTTTTTGATTTTCAGCTGGCCATGTGAAAAGGGGTCATCTATTGAATAATGGTAAAATGAGTTTAAAACTTATCAGAAGGTGAAAAAAAAAAGTTTTTCCTTACGGGTTATCCAGCAGTAATACAATGGGGTTTAGTTCTTTCTTTGGTCGGTAGTAAGCTCTGAGTGGGACAATGAAGTTGTACAAGCCATTTCCAGCAGTTTCTGCTGCAACTATAATCAATTTATTTTTGAATCCATAGGCTTTGGCATCTTCATAGTAGTTATGCTGGCATCCCTAAAATCAAAGTAAGGAACAAGTTCAGTGGATGTGAATATTGTATCAGATGACCCAAGAGAGACCTGGTTAGACATAAACACTTGAAGAAAAGGAGGAGAGAATATAGTATTATAGCAAACACTGCAGAAACTTCATCTCTGAGGAGAAATCAGAATTTAGCTCTCCTCAGATGCAAGAGACAGATGAGAATGCAGGATTACCCAGTAGAAGAAGCCCCCTTTACCTTATCTAGTCTTAGACAACAGAAGGGTACTTTTTCATGCAGAAGATGACAAAAGGTGGGAGAACTTCCAATATAAGGAGAGTAAGGAGGATAACCTTTGGCATACCTAAAATTTAAAAAAAAAATCAGTATAGCAAATTACCAAAACACAGCTGCCTACACAAGTGTTTTATGGGATGTTTATACATATGTCCAAGTTTTAGATCAAGTACACAAAATGAACTATGTTTAACAGAAGTCAAAAGAATCTTGCAGCCACTTCAACAGAACTTAGTAAAAGCTGCCATGCTTTTGGGGACTGAAGGAATTTTGCTTGGGTTTTTGAAAATAGTCTGTTTTATCATAGTGTGCTGTCATAGTGTTTTGAACTGGAAACTTTTAAGTTAAAAAAGGAAGGAAAGAAAACAGAAATAACTGTACTTCTGCTCTTCCTTCTCCAATTCTTTTTTTCAAACATTTACCAGGAATGAGTGAAGTCATTACCTTTTAGCTTTAATAATGTACTTTCAAAATGGCTGAAATAAATTCTAAATGGCAAATCTCTTCCCAGTGATATGAAATTTCTAATTGGCCTTAGTGTTTTTTTTACAGGAGACCTTTTAAATCCTGCTGTTTCAGTCTGCACATTTAAGATGACTTGTCCTACTAATTTTTTCTCTGGAGCTTGATAATCTTCCCTGGGGCTTCTCCTGCTTGCTACTGGTGGAGATGGAAAACTGCTGGTTGAGGCAGTGGCTTAATTGTGTATTTCAGTTTTAACACCCCTGTCAGCAATCTCAATAAACATAATTGCTCATCTGCACAGCAGGATTGAATCTTCTGGGTTTATCTGAGTAATGCATCATTACTTTCAGTAACACACTAACAAGCATTTTGAATTAGATGGGATAATTTTGTCCTGTACTGCTTTTTTGTCATTCCTGCATTTTGAAGTCACACACCCAGCCCCAGCATTCAAAAGCCTGTTGGATGATCTGATTATCACTGCATTCTCATGACAGGAATACTTATCTGTTTACAAATTTGTTGAGTGCTCACTTAATAATTACAGAAAGTACGAAAAAAAAAAGGTGTTAGAATATGCTATGAATGTATTGCAATACATGACTACAGCCTTTATAACTGCAAAGAGAAAATCTCCACCAAATAGAAGAGTTTATCTGTTGGGTGTTTTTTGTATTTCAAAGTAAGCTTATGGCATTCTGCTAGCACTTTCTCGATGGAAATAATTCCATAATTGGACTTCATAGGACTTGCTTCCTAGAAGTGCTCAGATTGATGTGCATTTCAAAAGAGATTATCGCTGCTTTTTATATATAGTATTAACTTTTCACTTCATTTGCATTTGAGATACGTACTCAAAGCCTGCAGACACTTCGTCGGACGGGGTGGTTTCATCCTCAGACTGGTCACTGAGCAGGTCACAGGTGGGCAGGGAGGAGGAGTCTGCCACCTCCAGCACCGGGGCGATGCTGGGCCTCCTGCCCTCCTTGCCCCCCTCGGCGGGCAGGGCCAGGGTGGCACCGCTGGCCCCGCGGCACCCGGTGTCCTGTAAATCGATGGCCACGGTCCCTAGGGCAGGGAAAACATCTCCTCAGTGCTGCTCAGAACGTCTGAACGACATTCCCGGATTTACAGGGATTGCCTGGCAAAGGACTGACAGCAACGCTATGCTGGTTGTGCTTATTCCATTAAAATAAAACAAATATTTCAACTGTACTCAAGGAAAGCAATACTTTTCCCGACAATTAGTCTATATCTTCTTGTTAATTACCTCTTTTAAATCATATCTTATATAATCAGTCCATATCAATATGCATCAACAACCTGCATATTTTACTTATGGTGTTTTCTAAATTAAAGAAGCTCATGAAAACTTGCTACAATCAGGTATGAAGACAAAGAAGTACTTATATGATTTGCCCATTTGTTTTGCTTTGCATACACTTCATTTTTACTTTTTTATACCACAGTTTTAAGTAATTTAATTCCACCCTGTCAAGTAAAAGAGAATCAAATTCCATTTGTTTTTGGGGGTTTTGGTTTTGGTTTGTCTGCTTGTTTGTTTTTGTCTGGGTTTTTCTTTTGTTTGGTTTGGGTTTTGTTGGTTGTTTTTTGTGGGTTTTTTTAAATATGAGGGCAAATGTTTGAAGTTGTTATATTAATTCTTTCTATTCATAATTATAGTTTTTCAAAAGTTTAGGAAGACGCTTTAAAATGTACTACTCATTAAATAAGAATAAATTGTGATGTAATCTTTTTTTTTTACTTACCCATGCTGGCTATTATACTGTGTACTGGTAACCTAGAAGCTCCATGATAAGATAATTTTGATTCATGGTTTTTCCTATGCTTTTCTTGCTTCTTAAAAGCAGAATTCTCTTCTTTGGTGATATTTATATAAAAGCATATATCAGTAGAACTCATGATATATCGAGGACCTGGATTCAGCAAAATGTTTTTGTTATCTTCCTTTCTAACACCAATCAGACAGACTCCAAACCTTAATTAGAAAAGGAAAGGCATGGTTCATTTTGCATAGTCCTGCAAACACCAAAATTTCCATTGTCAAAAATGAACCTCAGGTATATTTTTATTCTTTGCACATTATGAACATTTGCAGCTTTCTGGATGACAAGGATGTTTGAAAAATGTGTTCTGCCGAATAGGCCACATCAAATCAAGCAGATTTTATGAGCTCATGAATTCCTAGGCAGTTGAGTGTTTTTCGTAATGCCCATTATATTCTCCTAATGTTGTTCTAGTTGATTTTTTCTGTCAGATGAATAGTCCTTTTCGAGAAAATATTGGTAGAAAAATGGATACACTATATGAAAAATTATTAATCATGTTAAATTGTTCCATTATTTATAAGTAATGGAAGCCATTTTCATAATTCATTTTTGCAATTCACTCTTAAAAATGTATTTGATTAGTGATTGAAAATAAGGAATTATAGCAAAAAAAACCCTCTTTCTCTCCTTGATTAAATATGAGAATAAACCCAGCATTTAGGGTTTGATAAATGCTCATTTTATCAAATATATACAAACATACATGATTTGTGTTTATTTTGCATGTTATCTCACAGAGCAACACTGGATAAGTGATGCATCATCTGGGCCTTAAAGCAGGTATGTTACCATCTAACAGAAAAAAGTTTATATACCAGAATATACTATGTGACACCTTTGAATTGAACATTTTGCGTAATAGGAACAAGACACAAAGGAAGCCAGATTTCCAGCTGAGTCCTAAATAAAAAAAAAACACACCCTCCCACCCATTCATTTCTTGAGTGTTTTAGACTTGGATTGGTGTTCTTGAAAAACCTCCAAAAGGTGCCTTTTTTTTTTCTGGTTGTCCAGCTTATTCTTTTTATCTTTCATATTCTGTTCTCTTTGACTAAGATGGGCTGTACAGAATGAACATAAGCTTTAACCTGACCAGCTCCAACTCACAGAAATACAGCCATATTAAAGGCCAGATACTTAAACCCAAAAACAGATCAATGTGTCTTTAGTGCAGAGCTATCTTGCAGGCAAAACAAGTAATTATTTCTTTGAACTTTTGATGGTTGATAAGAAAAATAAACATACTTTTTATGTGCATGGAAAGAAGCATATGTGAAGCTCTTCCCCTCATACTCTGCAAAAAATGTACTTTCTTCCAGGTTGATGTGATACACTTCGTTACCAGAGCATCTGCCATACATTTTCTGCCATTGTTCTGGTGATTGCTGACTCTCCCTGAATCACAAAGAGAATAATTTAACACTTAATGCAAAATTCTTATTAATCAGAATGGTACTTCGTGTAAATAGAAACTACAAATGTCTACTGAAAAGGTCCCACAGGCTAATCTGAAAAGTATTTGAGATCAAAAGTACAGAAGAAGTATTTGAGATATTGTAAGTACAGAGATTATTTTAATGTATTAAAGAGCATTTTCTGCTAAGTAATAGACATATATGAGTATGTACTTTAATATCAGGAGAGAGGTGGCTCAATTACTTTAAAATCACACTATAATAAGTAGATCCATAGCAGCTTGAAGATGACAGCAGCATTCTCATTACATTCATAAAGACAGTTTCTTCACATGCTTTGTGGCAGACTCTTTGGCTCCTGTCTGAGTACCATTAATAACAACTTAGGTAGGAAAGAGTCATTTGTCTTTGGTCATTTGATCTGTAAGAGAGATTCTTCTCATTTACTTATCACTGATCTTTACACCCTGTGGGTATTTTTGGTTCCTGTGTCTTGTAGCCTATTACAAGTACATAGCTTCTTTTCTCTAGTGCAAGGCAATAAATTACAAAGCAGATCACCCTTTACTCTATGAAGCTGCTGTAGCTTCTTTTCTCTAGCGCAAGGCAATAAATTACAAAGCAGATCACCCTTTACTCTATGAAGCTGCTGTAGCTTCTTTTCTCTAGCGCAAGGCAATAAATTACAAAGCAGATCACCCTTTACTCTATGAAGCTGCTGTAGCTTCTTTTCTCTAGCGCAAGGCAATAAATTACAAAGCAGATCACCCTTTACTCTATGCAGCTGCTGCCCCTAATGCAAACAGTTCAGTGGAAACTTCCAAACCTCAGCAACCCCAACACGTGCAGCCCTGGAGCTCCGGGGAACTTCTTGATTAAGTTTCACATGGAAACAAAGTTCTGCCTGCATGATTATCACTGGAGGTAGCTGATGCATACATACACAGATATGTGCAGATATGCCATGAATCTGACAGGTGTGTCCTGTGTTTTGCCACTTGGAGTGAAGATCTCAAGATCCCGGGACATGGTCCTTTAATGCTCATTTCTACATTCTCAATACCTTAACACAATTTGTAGTTTTCTTCCATTTACCAAGTTTCTTCACTCTCATATTGAAAACATTTTGTTTCAAGATGAAAATAAGTAAACCATTTTGTTGCAGCACTATAAATACTGTACTAGGTATAGAACAGCAGAACTAGCCATGCAATTTCTGAACATTTTCCCTTATTTCACTTTTCCCCCTAAAATAAAATGGTCACCTGTTTAATGTCTGCTTGGTTCCAGTGAGTTGTCTGAAAGCTTCCCATGGGGCTGTACTGTAAAGATCACATTAACTTCAAGTCAGAAAGGTTATTTTCTTCCAGTATTTTGTATAATCAAACAAATCCTAATAGAGTTGCATTAAGAGTTTAGATAACCAGGTAACAGTGAAAGATAAATGTTAAGATTATTAATTAAGATTGATAATGAGATTATAAATAACATTCAGGGTAGAATTTTGGTGTCTCACAGATTAAAGTTCTGAATTCCACAAACAGCTGGGAAGACAACAGGATTATTTGAACCTCCTTAACAGGTATTTAAAATTTGAGTCCTACGTAAGGTTTAATGCAGGTATTAATAGCAACCATGATAATAAAAGAATAAGTAAACAGGAACTAATGTAAAGGAAAGCAGTTCACTACTAACATTTGAAGTCTATTATAACAAATTATTTTCATTATGTAGCTCTAATTTAGCATTTGGTTTATAAATACATGTATATGAAATTTTTATTTGCAGTTTAAATAATCTGCTTTCACCTAGATAATATTTGGATATTTTGATAAGATTTGAATTTTGGATATTTTTACATAGCCAAACTCAACTGCTCATCAGACTTCATCTTTCATATGCATAAGTAATGGCAATTTCACCTACTTTAACAATTAGCAGTTAATTTACCTCTTGTTCAACAACAGAATACATCTGGAAAAGCAAAAAAAACCAACCCCCTCTGAACTATAAATTGGTCAAATGCAAAGTAGCTTTATGTCTGCAGTACAATGACAAATGCCCTTATTTTGAAGTCTGTCTGAGAAAAAAATGCTCTGAAGAGTGCTGACTACAGTAGATAAATAATAACTAGACATTTTCACTTTTTCAGTCTTTCTGTATAAATATAGAAGAGTATTCTCACAGTAACATGTATTGTAGATTCTTACTGAAACACCCATTATTTTAATCCTTCTGGATTCAAAGTAATGCTACAACTATTTGTGCAAAAACATTTTTTCTTTTTGCTCCTAGTATACAATGACCAGACTAGAAAACAGTTACTTTTATTATGCTGGTGATATCTATTAATTCTGATTGCAAAAGAAATCTTAAGCACTTTTGAATTCTGTGACAGTTACTTTGCATCACAGTTGGGAATCTGTAAATGATCAATGTGACTGTGTTAAGCAATGAAATGCTGAAGTTCCTAAGTACAGCAGAAAACATTTCTCTTTTGTGTGTTTGGTTTAGTGCTAAAGGAAAATTCCCTGACAGCTGTTAGGAACAGTGCTCTTCTTTTATGTGCATGTAATATGAAATAACTGGAACAGGCTCTGGATTCTGTGCATGTCACAGCATTAAAAGGTAGGCAGATAAAAAATAGATAAAGAATGTATTTCACCACAGTGCTCAGCAGGTATCCAAACAACATTTTGTTGTGTTTCTTCTAGGAGATTCTAGTGCACAGTGCCACTAAAATCTTGACATTTGCTGTTCTCAGTAGTAACAGTTCTAGGATGAATTTCTGTTTTCCCCATTCTGGGCAAAAGGGAATACTAGAAATGTCATATAGAAGGTTAAATAACTCTGCTTATAAATAAACACATACTGAGTTCATGGTTACTTGAAAAAGACGTTAGCATGTTACAAGACTTATGTAGTGTATGTGCAGCTATTCCATTTCTACAAATATATTTTGAGAGTCACTCTTTATTGCAGCTGTGTGCCCACGACATTTCAATCAAGAATACCTTATTATTCCAAGAATACAGCATAAAAGAGATACACCAGATCTGGTAAAATTATTTTAGTGAATTGAGGGAAGTTCTACTGTGACTATGCAGTCTGGAGAGACACCATAATTCTGCACCCCTTCCAGCACTGTGGTCATGTTAAAAATAAAAATCATCTATGTTTGTTTGCCTCTTAACATACAGGCACAGAAGAGCAAATACCATATGTCATCAAAAACCTTTTTTTTTTTTAAGTTCATTGAAACATACCTTGAAATTAACCTATTAGAATATGTATTTTTAGGACTTGTTAGTGGTCATAAGTAGAACTTTCTGATAAAGACACTTCAATCTACTAAACCAGAAATACAGTTTTTTCATTATTTATGTTGTGGAAGTGGCACAACAGCATGCAACAAACTCTTAAATTCTGGTGGGAGGGGGTGTTCTCTTCAAAATTGTACTGCCTTAAGTAAGGTATTTTGATGCTTTTATTGTGCAGAAAGTTCCATTTTCTTTTTTAAAACTGTAGTTGTGTGAGAATTCAGGGTAAGCTGTTTTCCAAATATTAGCTATGACTTTTTCAAGTTGTTTGGGGGTTTTTTATGGTAGTATATACTTACTGTCCCCTAGATGTATGAACCAGCAGAGTGATTAATGTAGAAGTAGCTGGACATATACAATTTAGAGCTAGCATAGCATATTTGAATTCCTCTTCACATACAACATGATCTGCAGGGAAAAAAGAAGGATACAAATTGTTTTACGAAAATACTTTGAACTGAACAGAATTATCCTTTCCTTATCTAGGACAATGGTGAAGATGGATCACTCAAAAGTAGGCCCAAGATCTTCATTTTCTGCTTGAACCTTGCAAATCAGATGTGTGTGATTTTTCCTATCTAGGCTATCCAACATGGATGGCTAGGAAATAGAAATTATTCTTTAATGTAATTCTCATATATCTGTGAAAATTGAAATGGTTATAAAAAGGGACAAACACAAAACTTTTAACTGCTTGTCAATGTAGAAACAAAGTCAGAGACTTTTTGTAAAACCATAAAGGCATTTAATATTAAGTCAGTTTTTTCCCCTCTGAATTTGCTCATTGGTTCTTTTGATGGGATCAGAATTTGCTTCTAATGAAAAATAATATTACAAGTAATACAGCTGATGATCAAAACATAGGCACATGAAAATTGCTGAGTAAAGGCAGGCAAGCAACCTCCCCAGCTAGACCTGAACTATGCTCACCTGCTTCTGGTTTCACCCACGTGTCACTGAAATCCTCAGAACCACCTTACCTCTCTAAGCTGCTTTCCTGACAGAATTTATTGTATAGCTATAAGCATGAAACTTCCTGAAAATAAAAGTGAAGGCATATTGTGCCTTCTCTGTTCCTTTTATTTTTAAATATCTAGAGGCTTTTCAGTAACAGAATCATTTACTACTGAATTGAGTAATTAATTCTCTGATTTTCTGAAGATCAGGGCCCATTTAAATGTCATAGGCAAGGGATGAATTTAGTTATATAAAGACACTGTCAAACGTAGGACAAAATAAGATTTTTCTTCTGTAAATATATTTCAGCTGTAGCAATTAAATATTTTCTGCAGAAAATGTTTCAGATAGAAATATGTTCTTTTAGTTGACCATATGCCATTAATAAACCTACTTGAATTTCAAACTAGAGAGGGTAAGGCACAGTCTGTGATTGAATGGAATATCTGCAGTTCATTGCCATTAGTGAGATGACAAAGATTTATGGAAGTGAATACCAACTTCCTGACACTGAAAGAAAGAGAATTCTTGCTATTTTTAAAATTTGTATAGGATTTTGCCAAATAACCTCCCTTATTTTTTGTTTGGAATGTTGTCATATTATAGCTAAACATTTTGAAAATACAAGAAATTAAAAATACACAGTGTAATGATTTCATCATCTGTTATTTCAGATCTTGTATTTGAACCCAATTGTACATGCTGGCCTAAATATATACAAATGGAAGTTAACAAATGATGGCACAATGAAGATGAAAACTGTAACTTCAGTCCTCCACATGCACTCTACTCTCTAACATCTATGGTGAACTTTCTTGGCAGATGTCTATGGAAAATGTTATGTTACCAAAGAATACAGCAGACAGCAAACAGAGATTGCTGTCGTCCAACAGCCTCTCAATCATGTCTGTAAGAGATTCACAGGGTGTTGTCAAGTGTTTCTACATCAGGAGCCTTGGAGGTGGACTTGTGGAGACTTTGATCTTCTGCAGGTAAGTTCTTGTATTAGACACAGACCAGGTCAAAACTGCTTGCTCATTTCTCCAATTATTTGACAGTTAACTGTGTTTTCTGTGTATGCTCGGACTTGTATTGAGGAGGATTACACAGAACTTTATCTGCTGCATCTCTCGGAAGTGAGCAGGGAGGAAGCTGGATGACAGCTCTCCCACTCCTCAGGTCTGGGACATCAGTCGTGTCCCCTGACAGCAGGTACCAGAATCAGCAAATTACTCATCCAGTGTGACAGTGAGGCAGCCCAGGAAATGGCAGTTTGTCTTGAAGTGAATATTAAATATGTCAAATCACCTTGCCAGAAAAAGAAGTATTTTGATTGAGTTTATACTAAAGAAATATTACACGTAGAATTTCCGTAAGTTGCTGTTTCTGTTGAAAATATATTTTGACAGCAGTTTTGTTGCTAAGTCTGTCTCAAATGGATGTAGTAATGTGGTGGGGTGAGTTATGGTTTACTGAGGATAAAACAGACTCAAAATACTGATTTATGCCTGCAGCAGCAGCCATGTGGTAAGAATGACCCAGACCTAGCACAATTATTCTGAGAAACCTTACTTTTGTCAGTTTGGTAAGTTAACATGACCACTACCAGATCTGATAGAGAAAAATGCCCATCCATTACCTCTAGACTATTTTTATCTCTAATTGGAGAGATTAATCATCCGCTGCATTCAATATCCATTTAGGTGAGTCTGGACTGTGTTTCTTTGAAATAAACTACTGAAGCTTTGATGTCAGACTTCAACAATCTGTGATAATTCATGGGTGCATTTTGAATAGATAGGGAATGTCAAAATGTATCCCCATTTCCTGGAATTGTAATTATATATAATTTCCAAATATTCAAAGTAAAGGATACACACACACACAGACACACACACAAAATTATGAAAGTTTTAAGTTCAGCTCAGAAAATATGGAATTTAGTAGTTTCTGAATTCTGAATAAATATATTGCTCTGCTGTGGATAATCTTCACTTTATTTCCCATTTGTGCTGAAATACAAGGCCAGGAGCTTGCACCAAGGGTACATGGCCTTTTGTAGCCTTGTGTGTTTGAAAGAAAAGTGGGAATATTAAGAATGTAGCTGCCAGCATTATTGAAAGAAAAACTGGGCATGTCAAGGCATTTTTATATTGGAAATTACTAGGGAGAAACCAAAGTATTTCAGCTTAAGAGATAAGACAGTTGCCCATGTGATCACTGTCATGTTAATAGTGTCAGTGTATTTAAAGCATTCACACCTTAAATTCGTAAAGGGCTTTGCTGGGACAAACATTTATGCTGCTGTAGCAATGTAAGTATGTTAATATTTTAAACAAAGTAGTTAAAATCCACTGTAAAAAAATCAGAAGTCACAGAATGCAAGGATGTACGTGTGACATCAGGTGGAAAGTCAGGAAACCTGACTGTCTGGCAGGTCATATGAGCCTGGCCAAGATGCCTCCATTTTCTTGCTTTGAGGACAAAAATAAGCTCCCATTCTCTCATTAAAGACAGGAAAGATATTTAAATCTTGTTCCCATCTTACAGGATGGGAATGCATTATGACAATTACTTTTCCTATATACTGCTCCCTACTCCTATAGGAACATGCAGTCAGTGTCTGAATTTCAGGACTGCCTCATGCAATCTAGGAGGACTGGTCAACCTAAAATAAGCTGCTGAGAAACTGGGCTTCTAGTGCTTTATACATTTTTAATGTAGTTAAAAGTTAAATTTTATTTAGGAGGACTATTTGGTTGTATTTCTTCTAAATTCAAAAACTTCATTTTTGACAGCTGTAGTGTCTAAACCTGTGTGTAAAGAAAAAAAAAGAAGAAATCCTATTACTGACTATTTCAGGTTTATAAAAATGCCCCGTATTGTTTTGGGAAACCTCTAGAAGAAAAGAGTCATTTTTTTCAAGGAATATCAGATTTAAAAGAAGCTTTTACATTAAAGCAGTAATAAAGCAGCCCTGAATCATAATAGGAAAAGCACTTAGAAAAATGTTCCAGATGGTTGTGACAAATTTCACTCGTAAAGACTCTGGACAGGTCTGTAGTCTGCAGCCCCCACTGGGTACATGTTTCAGGATGATGAAGTGTTGGGTGACACCAATACCAAAGGGGGATCCTCTCAGGAAAATGTATGCCAACAAATACTGTTGTCATGGCTCCAGTGGTGATGCTGAAGTTCCGCTGAAGGAAATTTTACCAAAAGAGGTTTTCTGGGTTATTTGGTTGTTGTGTTTTGGCTTTTTTTTTTTAATATGGTCCAAATTCTGTAACACTTCAAACAGACATGAAAAATTGCCTCTGTTTTCAAAGTCTGGTCATATATAAGCTCCTACAGAGACAAGCCATTAGGAATAATGAAACCCTCTTAAAAGCATAATTTGGAACAACAAATTAACACAGTTACTGATAAAGGAAAGCAGCCATGGCTAAGGGAGCAGGGATTATGTTTGTGCTGGCTGGTTTAAAGGGGGAGATGAAAAAGCACCATCATTCTCATCACAGCATGAGCCTTATTCCCTTCTGTGCCATCTCATGGCTTGAGATTACACTTTTATAACTTCAGAGCTGCTACTGATGGGGCTTTTTCTTCTTTCTAACCCAGTGGTAAATTCCGTAGCTTTTGAAATTACAGCTTTTAACTGTTGCTCTGGAGCCGTTCTGCTGGAATTTACTTTTTCATCACATTCTGGGATGATGGAGGAGACTAATATTTTTCCATAGAGTTGTTTTTATTTTTGCATGAATCAGCAATCTTTTCTTCCTTAGAATATCATTCAAGAAAATAGAATTTTCAAAATTGCAGCTGAAAAGGAAAGCTCCTCTTCTACTTCAGAGCTATTTCTCCAAAAGTATTTGTGTGTTTTTGCACATGAGCATTTGTACATCTATGTACTTACATACGTGACTGTTTGGATATAGACAGAAAGAAAAACATATAATGCAGAGAAATAGTTTGTCAAATAAAAGATGGTAATCTCATCTTACAGGAGTAAGATTACTTAACATAATTTTGCATTTTACGCCATGGTTTATGCATTTTACTGGATACCGAATTAAATTAAATGTCTGTTTCCAAAATATTTACAAGTAATTCAAATCATGTTTTCCATACCACTTGGTAAAAAACAGTCCAATGAGAAGTTTTTCCCTCAATCATTTGTTGGACTAAATGTGAATAGATCTTCTTATACAGCCCTTAGTAACTGTGTTTTAGTACACAGAAATGAATTACAGCCATGGGTACAGTAAGCTGGAGACTTACCTGGATCTGGAATAAAAGAGTAGTTATACATCAAATAATCATACTCTCTATATTATACAGCATAAAATTATTAATTATCAAAAGTGCTTGTAAGTAAGTCTTTACCATGGCTAGGATATGTATTATTTTACAAAACTGCACATTTAATCCATTTCTAAGTAGTAAATATGCCCAGGGATTCTCACTTTGTTGTGTTCATGAAACAAACTGTCAATCACTAACAAGTGCTTCAAATGACAGCAATCTTCTTCTTACCTGCAAACTTGATGTGGAATTTATTCTCAGGCTTCAGTATCTGAACATACAAAGGACAATTTGGAGCAAAGTCTTTAACTGCCCATGCTCTTAAAATGGTTTGGTGATCCTAGAAGTAAGAGTATGAGAGGGTGCAAATGAAATAAAAATAACCAGATTAGAAAAGGAATCTATTATCAGACTTGCTCCATTGAAGAAAACTCATTTTAAGCCATGTGGCACCAGCTGGTATGGATGTTTATGTGCAAGTTATATAATTACTATTACTTATTAATTTATAGCAATCTTCCACTAATAAGGTATTTTGAACCTCTCCTGTCTTTCTGCAAACACTAATGATTGTGTTATTTGGAAAGGGGTAGCATTTGGATATGGAATGATTGTGTGAAAACTTAAGATGGCAGTGATTAGTCATGTCTAATTAATCAAGAATTATGTAGCATAGATGTCCTCCCAAAGAGACTCATAATTAAATTAGCATTAAATGATGACATCAGAAATGAGAGTTTAAAATTGTGGGTAGTTCTAAAAATACCAGTTTAATTAAAAGCAGATCTGAATTTTTGTGGAACTAAAACATTTGCACAACTGATGTGAGGATTTAGCCAGCTATTAACCGAAGATTCCAAGAGATTTTTCAGACTGTTAGTTTTTATTCTTGTTACCACATGGCAAGAATGAGTTAACTGCAGGGTGAATACTGCTGTCCATAAAAGTCATCTATTTGATAATTCATTCATATTTTGAATTTTGTGACATAAGACTAATTCCAATGTATCATCCATTGGTTTTTATTTATTTCAAAACAAAAAGAAACATTTCAGAGCAGTATCTAGAAAACCATTCCTGGATTGAAATGCCTTGCCTAGTCATGAAATTGGTGGTATTTAAAGATAAAATATAAAGAATGATTCATTATGTTTGCAGCATCAGCAGTAAGAAAAGGTTTCAGACTTGTGAACACAACGGAAAATCTCTGCCTGGAACAGAGTGTAATTGACATTTTCAAACCATAATATTTTATTATCAATTGAGATGTTAGCAGGTTTTTCTACTAGAAAAACTGAAATGGAGTCATAAGAGGATGGCAAAATATCTTATTTCACATTTTTCTTATTAGTAACTTTATAGATTTAGGATTGCTCTGCCCAGTCAGGAGATTTAAGACCATGGGTGTAACCTGCTGTAGGTTTTCCTTGTATGCAGCCACTTTTTTTTTTTTTTTTTTTTCTTACTTTTCTATAACATATGGCATGTTACCCTCCTCAGGATTTTGTGTTTGTGTGTGCTTAAGGTAATGACACACCAACACAGCCTAGAAGCAGCAAATGACTGGGTAACATTCTAGATGGCTGTCACACAGCTATGTTACATGCCTAGAAATATAGTTATCTCTGTGTTAGATATTTTCTTGGATTTTTTAATTATTTTTTTTAAAGCTTGGTTTTATCAGAATGTGCAATGATTGTTAAATATAAGAATGAAGATTTCATCATAAAACCATTCAAATTTCACTATTTTGTTAAAAACAAACCTAGACCTATAGATCAACTCAGTGGGTATGCACTGTTAATCTAATAACCTTGCATTATTGTTTCTTTTTTTCTCCTTCCACTTGGTATATCCATGTGTTTATGTACAAAAGCTGCTTATTTGGTTCCCAAGTTTTTTGCTCAGTTATTCTCCCAAATTCCAGACTGAGGAAGCACTCCAGGGGAGAGAAAGAAAAATACAGGTAGGCACCTTAAGTGATTTCTTAGATTCAGTCAGTATTGTGGCTCTCTGTTTTAAAACACAGCAATTTCTATGCTATATTGCAGTCACTTTAAAAAACATTCATCTTTCTCCCAATATATAGCATGTATGTACACACAACAAACAGAGGTAACTGAAACAAAATTATGCTTCTGTTCTCATTATTAAACATTTGTGTCTTTGGAAGATGAGTGAAAAAATATATTCTCTTCTATGTGAGCTTCACACAAGGAACTGCAGTCAGTGATCAAAAATTACCACAGATACAAATGGTGATTAATATAGAGGTGCTATTCAAGTTCATGTATGAAAACCTCAAGTTTTAAAGTAGGTGTATTTAAATCATAAGAACTCAAGGAAATGCATTTAATATATATTTTAGAGTAGTTCTGTTCATTGAATCTCTTTTTTGCCACACATAACTTGATAAATTAGTTATATCCTGCTATGTTTACATCCATATTGTGATGCCATTAAGCCATTGTAATTTAGATTGCCAGTACAGCAGAGTCACAAAATTTAATTAATGAAAGGGGGGAAAATGGTGCAAGCTTGAATTGGACTATATCTGAATTTTCAGAAAGCCTCAGAACAAAGCTGTCAGCAACAGCAAAAGTGTTGTCACCAGAAGTTACTAACTAACAAAACAGCAAGCAACGAACAGCCAGGGGTATCCACGGCAAATGAGGAAATCCTCTGCTTGAGCATTGTAGCTGGGGGGATAAAAACCCTCACAAGCTTCAAAAAATCACTTGACTAACAACAGCTCTTCTGGTCAGGAATCTCCTCCTTTTATTTTGACAGCTGTCATGCACAGGAGAGGATCCAAGGCTCTTTTAGCAGTTTGTCAGTGTCTCAACAACAGCAGGGTGGAAAATCAGTGGTACTTATGAAGATTGTTACTGGGATGACAGCTGAACTTCCTTCAGCCTGTGACAAACAAACCTTCTGTAAACTAACATGTGGCTGGAGCAGTGTAAGAAATACAATAAATCTCATTTCACAGCCCTAGGGGGCAGTAAGACAAAATAGTTTTTTAAAAATGTAAGAACTTCCTACTTGCAGAATAAATAATTGCATTCCCTGTGAAAAGGCAATGTGACAGCAAAAGAGAGAACAAGGCAGAGAGGTGACATCTTGTTTCAAGGCTTCAGATCCCACTGACCCTGAGATGTCACTGTGGCCCAGGGGAAGGGGCCAGGAGAGAGTCTTTGGTGAGAGGTGCCTGTTTGTGTGCTCCAGGTACAAAGAGAAATGAGATTTGTAGTGGCAGCTGAAGTGTGCCAGGTACCATTCTGATGTTTCCTGAGGGCAGAAAGGAAGAGCTGCAGTGGGCCGTGGCTCCAGAGCCAAACCACAATGGATGGGAGCTCTGGGAGCTCCAAGCAGAGCCCACTGCCTGCCCTGCAGCACAGTCCAGCAGAGCTGAAAATTGTCTTTTCTTTGCATAAATTCTGAAGCAGTTATGAGCAGAGATAAACAGCTGACTGGTGGTGTTGCTGTCCTTAATGCTGCATAAAGCCTCTCAATGCAGTGTAAATCACACACTGATTTTATGGGATTTCTCATTTGTAACCACTGTGCAACTCTCAAGTACATTATGTGAAATGAGATGTAGCTGATTTATTCTAAATTATGAAATTGTGGCTGATTTAGATAAGACAGTAGGGCTACTTTGGAATTGTTCAGTTTCCTAGAAGTTACAGGTATTTTTCCAGGTATTTGCAAGAACTCTTGCTTGTTCTTAATTTTAAATACCCCAGACCCTTAGTCATTTCCAAGAAGTAGTTCTGCCTTGCCTGATTACTCTGAGATTACTTACTGCCAGTTCAGTGGCTTTCACTGCTGTATTTTCAGGAGTTTATTGCTGATGAATCAAATTCAAAGTCCTTAGGTAGGTAAGTTTAAATGTTATAGCAGAAGCACAGGTTTGTGTCTCAGGGAACTCAGTGAATTTCTGCAAGGGATGGGTCCAGAACAGGATCTTTAGCTAAAATCTTTTAACTAAGTTCTGATGGCAGATGAAGTAGAAAGTGATAGAGATTATCAGTGATAATCTCTAGAGATTAGAGAGATACTCATTAGAGTGATAGAGTAATGCTACAGATATCATGCAAAGCTCTCATTTCCCATTTTTTGCTATATCTCTTTTCAACATTTAGAAAAATAATTGCTATTTCTTACAATGTAGCACCAAAACAGTATTTTTAATTGAGATTACGTAAAACATAATTACTGAATTATAAATACTGGTTTCAGTCTTGTTAGCCAATTTATAAGCATCTTCAGGGATATTCAGACTCAGGATGAAACTGAACCCCTTTGCAGTTCAGGACTGAACTGAATGAGGCAAGTCTGCAATAATTTATTGTAGTGCACATAGTGAAAAATTTCAAGTTATGTTCATAAATCCATCCTCAGTGGAATTTTTTTCTGGATATCTGTGATCAGTAGATAATTTCATTAGAGTTCTAGTTCATACACTTTTATTCTTTTATCACAGATGCACTGCACAGAAGTTTGTATTAACAGTGTTCCTTTGTGAACAGTAACTTACCTGACTGCAAATAACTAGCAGCATGGGCAAACCCATGGAAACTTATTTAAAGAATCTAGCAGTTTTTCAGTTTTAAAAATGGCCAATATGAAAAATGGTCACATAGTCTCATATATACTGGTTACTTGTATTAGTCACAAATTTATTTATTAAGTTGAATTCAGGCTTTACTTCATTAGTTCTGAATATACCAGTCAGTTGATACCTGTCTCTTTTCTGATTTAATAAATACAACTGATTAAATTGAATATCTAGAGCAGTCCAGGTACTTTGAATACTGACAGAGTAGCATTTTTGGAAGTGATTAATGCCCAGTTATAATTGTATCTACATATCTACCATGAGAGTACTTTTATGTTATTCTGCCCTTGTTGCATATAAAAGGGCTGAGAAGGAGTAAGGACAGTAAAAGCTGTCCATCCTCTCATTTCTCCCTCCCCAACTTACAGCTGCTGTCCTGTCCACCTCACAGCGGCTGCTCAGGATGAAACAGGCTTCAGCATTGTCCATCCTGGAAGAGAGGAGACAGACCTGTCACAGCCCAAGCAGGTACCCACTGAACTCGTGTCTCACAGTCACAGTCTTGCACACAGAAACAGAACACAAAGTTGAGTCTGTTCTCATTTCTTACCCTGGTGACAGTAAAAGCTGTGCCAAAGTAGTAAAAGCAGAGTAGCCTCAAACTTAATTTGCAAAGTATTTATCTGCCACGAGTATGAAGGTGAATAAACAGCACCAGTCTGCCTGGTGCAATATGCACAAGTTATTACTGGTGAATGAACAAGGGGGGACTGGTAATAGCCTTGTCTTGCCTAGTGAGAGCAGAACGTTGGGTGCATGCACAAGAATAATGTGTTTGGGATAAATAACAGACATTTCTGTGTATATATGCTTAAATGAACTATTCCTGTTCATGGTGCCTTTGATTAGAAGAAATCATGGGAGCTCTATGAAATTTCAGCCAAGCATAGGAGTAGTACTGGGAAGACAGGGTCTTCATCAAAGTTATAGGAAAGAAAATTCAGTAAAATTAGATGAGATTCTTTTGCCAAAATGCAGTTTTTTGTTAACTGGCTATTCACTACTGATGCAGTCACCCAGCTGCTGGTATTCCTTTACTTTTTAGTGTTACCTTTATAATGTTATTTTGACTTTGGTTCACATATAATATATGGATACATTTTGATAATAAGACTCTTCTTGATTATTTTGTTGTTGTTGGTAAACATTACTTTATTTATTAGAGGAATTTTATCATGTGCCTTGTTAGCTCCTCAGTACATTATGTTCTCATTAAAAAGAAATACACCAAACATCTTGGGTACTGGGTTATATTTCATATCCAATGTTCTATTAAATTCCCACTATGCTTCTTCCCTCAGGAGAGGTTGAAAATTATTCTGTGACAGGTACATTCAATTACATGTTCTGCAGGAAAAAGCACAGTTCCACAGCTGACTACCTCCAGGTTATTATAAGTGAAATTCAAGATTATATTTAGGGAACAGCCTAATTTTAATTCTTGTAATGTGTAGAACAAATGTCAGCTAAATCCACATCAGAATTCCTTCTTGAAATCAGCAAGAAAGGAAAAAGAAAAAAAAAAAAGAAAGAAGCATCTCTCCAAAAGAAAATTTCTAATCCTGAACAAAGCTTTCTTGTCTTGTCAAATTTTAAATACTGTTTTTTCAGTGGCAGAAGTCTGAGAAGGTAATACTGCTCATGAAGCTTCTCACAGATGAGATTCTTGGAAATAACTCCCCTCAGGTAAAGAATGACACAAATAGCCAGACAGGTAATGGCTTAATTTTAGTTATCTACAACACAGAGCAATGCAGATGAATTAAAACAGTTATTTGCTAAGAATGACCTTTCTCTCACTTTGGAGAGTTTAAAGAGATGACCCTTCTGCATGAATTTCACTGTGAATTCCTTTGCAGCTCAACTGATTGAGCACTGGGGGGAGGTATGTGTGAGGAACTCTGCTTGACTGATCTGTTTTGATAAATGTCATTCACTATTAATTGGCAGAGAGCATCTCTTAGAAGTGGTGGAAGTATGTGGTAAGAAGAGGGCCCTGAAAAGTTCAGGTATGTATAGCAGAACAGCTGCTTAATGTTACCAGGCTTGACTTCAAAAAACAAAGCTGTACATTGGGTTCAAAATTTTAGATATTAAGAAAAACAAGTTCTATCAAAGAGCTTTGCTTCGCCTTCTAAATAAACATGGCTTTCTTTCTAGTACAGCTTTTGTTGCTTGTTAAACTTATTTATCAAACAAGTATGAATGAAAAAGTAAAAAAGAATGGTCAATATTTGCCTACTTAGCTCTCAATAGGTCTTGATCTTTTAGGGCTGAGCCTTGCAGGTAGATAACTCTTTGGGACCACATTGGGATTTGTAACACCCTTCGGACCTGAGCATCCATCTCCGTAGGACACAAAATGACCACATAATAGTCCTGTCAAAATAGAAAAAAAAAGGGGGAAATAGTCATGGTTAATGCTGCTGGAGAATGAGTCAACAGTGACTTGAGATGTCAAAAATGTCTCAGATAAGACGCTGACAAGCAGAATTTATTTCCTCAAAATTTCTCCTTCACATTAATGGGCCAACCCAAACTGCTTCCTGTGCTACTTGGAAAAGCAAGGATGGTTTGAAGGATCTGTAAGTGCACAAATGAAAAGGAGAGATAAATGGAACATGGGAGAGGAGAGTGAGAGCTTAGGCCAGGCTGGTCATAGAAATCTTGCTTTCTGCAATACAGAGATCTCTGCAGAAAGCAAAATGGCTTTGGATGCAGTGCACCATCTGTATCCTTCAGCTTCTGTGTGCACAGAATCATTAAGGCTGGAAAAGATCTCCAAGATCATTGAGTCCAACTCAATTTCAGCTGTGAAGGGAATCTATATGAGACCTTTTAAGTTACCTGTGTAGTATTAGGGCTTTTGTTCTTTGTTTCCAGTGTATCACAGAGCCTGACTCGTTCTTCAGCTTAGTTAACAAAATGTTGTGTTTCAATTTGTGTTTGTAGCTATAAAGAACTGGATTTCTTTGTGCAATTGCTTATGCCTCTTACTAGCTAATTGTTTTGGGGAATATTTTGGATTTGGGATTTGCCAAATTGCTGCTCAGCCATTTGAGGGTTGTATTTGTGTGATTCTTGCAGTAGTTAATGAAGCATGATACCACAGGTAACTTAGTAAAAGACATAGAGAAGGTTTACTAAAAGGGAGAGTCTGTAGCAAAGGCAATGATAATAAATCCAAATTGATATCTCATGGAAATAAGTTTCTAGATGTTGCATAAGCCAGATGACAAGTTTGCATTACCTAGGGAATATGTGTAGACTAACAAAATCTGTGTATTCTGTCAACATCTTTGTCCTTTATTTGCTAATTTCCACAATTCCAAGAGGATCTGATCTCTGCAAACCTGTACAATGTGCTCTAGGACGACCCTGCCTGAGCAGGGAGGCTGGACCAGATGATCCGCAGTGGTACCTTTCAACCTGACCCATTCTGTGATTCCTAACACTGGCAAAAAACAAAGAAAAATGTGAAAACCAAAGGATGTTTTTAATTGTGAGGATTTTTTGATCCAGTCCCAAAAAATGGGAAAAATAAATTGAGTAGCTTTCATTTATTTTCTGTTTTAGGGTAGAATCTAAGGAATTTGCATGGAAATACCTGTTCTAAAAAGACTAGCACAATTCAACAAGACACTAATTCTACCTATTTAGTCTTTTCCCCTCAATACCTCAATTTAAAATGCATCCAAAAATGTATCTCAGCTTCTTACTACAGGTATAGCTTCCCAATTCAACTATCTATTCCCAAAATCAGTTTTACCACTTAAGAATAATTTCAGAAAGGTTTCTTAAAAGAAAAAAAAAACCAACAACAACCAAACAGTATTTTGAGGGGTTTTTTGAGGGGTTTTTTGGGGTTTATTTTTCCATTCTCAGTACCTGCAGTCTGGGGTGGGCATAGAATTCATTTAAGAAATCCATGAGTAAGTCAATCTTCAGAGAGCTCACACACAGCACAACGTGTTTTTCTGTCTGAGCTCTGTATCTGCTGTAGTTTCCTCCAGACTTTTGCCTCTCCATCCACAAATATGCCAGCTGTTCAAACTGCAAGAGATGCTGATTGTCAGTGGAAAAGAGACCAGTAGATAAGGGCTACAACTCTAAAATGACTTGGCAATGTTTATTTGTTCATCTCACCCCCTATGACAAGCTGCCCTTAGCCCCAATATCCTTTTCTTTGTAAAATGTTCTCTAATAAGGTAATCACAAACTACAGCAATAGTGCCAGAGTCTAACACACATAAACAGTGGTGGAAATTCATTAAAATACCATGGGAGTACACTAAATCACAGGAGTTCAGAAAAGAAAGAATGAAAGCTGGTACCTTTTTCCTTTAAGTAATTATGCCTCTGAGCTCTCTTTCTCTAGTATTGTGACATAATTGCTTCCCTCATACGAAAGGTTAAGTTTTCACAAACATACTGTGAATATACTTGGAAAGAGGCACCATTTTCTCTTAGTTTGGGCAGTAAATATTCCCAGAGATTTTATAATGTTCTGAAGGTGATGTTCTGTAAACTCTCTTATCTGCCTTATAATTTTAAATGCAATACATTTAAAATTATAATAAATACACAGCAGCTGCTAATACAGAAATTTTGCCTTTGTCAGGTGAACAATACATGCAGGTATGAGAGTGCTGTAACAGCCTGTAAAGAAACATACAAATACCAGTTCAAAGACTCTTGTAAGTAACACATGCTTAATACTGAGATCAATTTAACTGTATGGTTGTGTGATAGCATCTTTTTCTCCTCCACATTCCACGGATGGAGAGGCTGGATCGTGAATAATAACTGATTTCATTTCATTGCAGGGCTCAGGAGAGAATGCCTCCCACTCCATTATGTGTATGAAAAGTATATGAAGCCCCATTATCACTGCAAAGGTATAAAATAAAGTAGCTAATAATAGGTAAATTTATGTGAAATTCCAGTAGATTCTAGGTTATTTACTGCTCCTGTGGAGTTCTTGGGCCTGAAGTATGTATCAGAACCACCTTAAGAATGAAATTTCTGTGTCCTAGAAAATTCCAAATTTCATAAACCGAGAACATTTTAGTTTTCAATGGAATATATATTTTACTAATTTTTCACTGAGTGAGAATATAATTGTGTTGGTGCATATGGCTATGAATACATACATTCAATATTTAATTAGAGTGTTAAATAACTTCAAGAAAATTAATGCTGAAAGTTTGAGCTCCCACCCTCCCAGGGCTTGTGTGCTGTCTGCCCACACTGAGCTTTAGTTCTCTGCCAAAGAAGCAGAGACTGCAAACTATGGCTGTGTGAGAAACTTTGGAGCTTCATGGTCTAGCAGGTCTACTGTAAGCTTTGATAAAAATGCAGAGTCTCCCCACATCCTCTTTTGCTGGCACAAGGGCTGGGTGCTCACCAGGTGTGGAACAGTGAACATCCTGGCAGGGTTTCCCATGTAACCTCGGGGTTTCTGTCATCCAGCCTCACCTAATGAGCTGGAAAATGCTTAGTACAAATTTAATAAAGCTGACTGAGTCCTTGAAATACTTGGATTTTCATAAATTGCTCTTTCCCTGTTGAAACTGTTAGAAGTCCTAAACTTAGGCAGGCATGAAAAATTCCTAACTGTGCTGCTGGCTCTGTGTGCATGTGTTCCATACACAGCTGTGAACCCAATTTGCTTGAGTTGCAGATTTAATGAGATTTTTTTCAAGTTAGCACTGAGCTGTAAGAGAGGAAGTGGAGAGAACCAAGATTAGAAACAGGGAGAGCCTGCAGAGGAAAAGCTGTACTCATAAAGAAAGTGCTGGCTACTGTTGTGGGGTTTTTTTGTAATTGCTCCATTAATAACAAACCTATACCTCAGGATAAAGGAAGGACTCTGTGGTACATGACTGGCACAGAAAACTTTTATCAGCACTTGAAAACTTATCAGTGCCCTGTTTTTTAGTATAAATCTAGAGTATAGGAGAACATGCAGGAAAAAGAAAAAAAACAGTAGGAGAGATGGTTCTTTTTTTCTGACATTTTCTGTGCAATAATAATAGTAACAATAAATTATTTCAGTAATTGTTCCTTTGTTTCAAAAACAATTCTAAAGAGAAAAAAAAAATCCACATTTACCTGTATGGGCAACACCACAAGAGCAACACAGATCATAATGACAACAAGCAGCTTTGAAGGCCATATCTTGGGTGTAACATCCCCAAAGCCCACAGTAGAAAATGTCACTATGCAGAAATAAAGGGAGTCAAAGAGAGTCAACCTGTTTCCTGCTCGTTCCAGATGCTGAATTCCACAAATACTACGTAGAAAAGAATGAATAAAGACATGAAAAATAAAAACTGTTCAAGCTTGATGATATATGTGCAGAGAACTATTTTCAGAATTCATAAATTGCTTAGTAAAGACATTTTTTTTTAAAGAAAAGTAAAAATTAGTATCAAACCAGAAGATATTGTTACAACTTTCAAGTGTTATTTGTAATAAAAGAAACACATTTTTGATTATTCTAATATGACAGGCACAACTGTTGCTAGGTTTTGCTTAGTGGCTGTTGTGAAGGAGAGGTGGTATATAGAACATCATGGATTGATGCAATTCCTTTCTAAACCAGAACAAAACAGATGGTATAGAGCTGCCACCATTCAACATTTTTTATAGATATGTTTCAACTTTTTCAGGGAGGTTTGCTGCCGTGGCCAAGAAAAGTGCACATACAGCTTTCTGTAAATCTGTCTCTCTTTATGTTGGTCTCTGGCCCTTTCTGTGGCAAAGTTCCTGATGTGAACCAGTTAGGAGCGCACATGCTGCATATTGGGAGGGTTCTGTTGGTACAAATGGGTACTGACTGTCTGCAATGAAGTGAATGTGAGAACTGCAGACTACTGAATTATCAGAGGAAAGAGCATCCAGGGTCAACCTTCAGGTAGGAAGTGGGAGGTGGCAATTGGTGAGATTCTGCTCACTGAAAGTACAGAGCAGAAATACGGGGCTGGGCTGGGTCTGTAATACAGAGCAAGTGAGTTCACCCCTTCCAGTCACACATTCCTGAGATGAAGTAAACAGCAGCCCAAGTTAACTGGGAATTACTTTTCTTGGAATCAGCATGATACACTTTTGGTTTTGAGAAGCTGTAACAGAATCCCTCCACAGGTCATCCTGCTATTTCAAACACTGCAGATTTCAAAAATATTTCACTTTGTAAATATGTATCATGGCAAAGGGCTTCCCAAGCTTAAAATATGATCTTCTCTGATACAGTGGAATTACTTAGTTCAATTCAGGCTTTTAAATTATATGCACCTATGTAAAAAAAAACCAAAAACCAATGTGTGAACCACCCTGAATAGCACTTTTTCCCCTTGGAGCTAGCAGGATGATTTCTCCTCAGAGAATTAGATAATTGTTAAATCATATCATATTCCTCAGTTATTATTCTAGAACATACTAAATATTATTTCTTCATGTATGGTATCCAGATGGTAAGAGCCCCTCATTAATATCTGCCATGGGAAGACCTTTGCATCACCAGGGAGACCCTGTGTTTATAACAGTGTTAGCAGTTGTTCTTCTTTTCTCTGTTCTGTTCTCCAAATATAATTTAGCTGTGGGCAGTGGCATTTCCAGAACATATGGATCAAATTCCCTGTTTCCTTTTCACAGTTCTAGCATTTGTAGTTTTCACACATCTCAAAATGTTCTAAAAAGGGTGGGCTTTTTTCCCTGTTGTTTGCCTAAGTTTCATACTTCAGTCAGAACTGATATTTATATTCCTATCCAGTTCATCCCACATTTTTCACTGGAGTTGTAATCCAGCTCTTCCATTATTTCACTATGTTCACAGTTTTGCTGGGGTTTTTTTGGGGGTTTTTTTTAGTAAAAGGATAATTATATTTTTGTCCCTGAAAATACTAACAGAAGGACTGTAAGTAATTATGCTAATGAAGCTTTCTTTTGGTCTCAGACAAGGAAGTTTCTCAGCTAAAGCCTTTTCTAGTTTTAATATGAAATAATGAGGTATATTGTAAAGGCACTGAAGCATGGAAAAAGGAGCTATTTTAATATCAATATTCACCTAAGTTACATGTAGTTTCAAAAGCAGAATGGAGATGGATTTTTAATTATTTGTTTTTATTATTCCTATTCACCTGTGTGCATTTTCTTCTCTCTAGTTGCCTTTTGTGGCTATATCCCAGAAACACACAACCTTCACTTCAGGAATTAAGCTCATAAGGGCCAGGACAGCAACAGTTACACTGAGCCAGGGATATGGTTCCCCTCCAACAGGTCTATTACACCACTGCCCTCAGCAGATTAAACACCTACAGATGGGGTTGTATTGAACCATAATGAATAATTGTTGTTACTATTGAGATTTCCATAGCCAGCCCACCCAATCATAGTTTAGCAGAATTGAAATAAAGTAATATACCATGAACCATTTCAGCTTTTTCTAAGTGAACAACAGAAATTCCATTGAATTTATTGAGATCAAGATTTCATTTGATCAGCTCTACCCCCTTACAGTTCTATGTATTCCTTTTCCTTGAAGCCATCAAAATAATGTGTCTGATCCAAAATGTGGATTCAAGATGTTTCTCATTGAACTTAGTGGGCATGAGCCAGAGCTTCCCACATTTCGTTAACAATATTAAAGTCAGCAAAACAAGGGAGCTGCTTCTTGGCTGAAGAAAAATTCAGCTCTTTTAACAACTTGTTGATCAAATTTATTTCTTTCCTCAAAATTATTTGCACCTCATTTGCAGTTGTACCAAACTGTAATTGAAGCTCTCACCCTACATACAAGGGAATGATAAATCCAAAATCAGGTTACCAAGTCTGGGTGTTTTGGTGCTCTGCTGTTTGTCTTTATTGGAGCCAGAGAGCACTGAACTGCAGAAAAAGCTGATTTTCAAAGAGACAGCTTTAAGGGAGTCTAATTAAAAATTAAAATATTACCTCTGTGACTACTCTCCCAAGAATATTACACTTTCAGCTCACCAACTATGCCTTTAGAGAAATGTTACTCAGCATTGATAGCACATTCCCATCTGTCTGGGAATTACCTGGTTACACTGCAGAGAGAGTGCAGTGGAACATCAGTGGATGCCCAAGAAGCCAAGTTCACATGGATTAGTTATTCCATTCCCCACAACTCATTGACATCTTTTAATACATCCCAATTCCTAGATAAATAGTAGTATCAGCTTTCTTTTTCAGAAATGAAGTGTTAATCATTACTTTCTGCATAAATTCTGTATGTCAAAATACACTTATTTCTTATGTTTCCTGACATAATGAAATGTGCAGTAATTGAGGCTTCATATTTTGTCTGGTTTGATATTTTTGCTGATATTTTTACCTCCTTGTTTCCTTTCATCTCCTGAAGCTAAGTAATTTATTTAGTCATCCTTGGATAAACAAAATTATTTCAAGCAGGAAAGGAATGTACAGTAAAGGTAATGCTAACACCTACTTGTTTTTGTGGAGAAAATAAACCACTGTAATAATCAGTACACAGAGAGTCCCTAGTTAAACATAAGTCCAATTCAGCACCTTCTATGCCAATTTTAGGACCCCTGTGAATTCAGGAAGGTTGTCTTTTCACAGTGGATCTAAGGGAGGCACTCGCAACAAAAGAAAATTGCTTCAATGCAGAGGAGATTTAGTTTTTCTAAAAACCCCCCAGAACGCCAAACTAAGTGTCTGCTGAAGCAAAAGTAGTATCAGAAAATGTATTACAAACATCCAGAGGACAGAAGTATCTTTCCAAATACTCTGCTAACCACTGCACTTGAAAAACAAAAAGTAAAGAGAATAACATGTAATCTCTGAAGATTGGTAATGTTTATTTTGGGTACTATTTGAACTTTTGGGAGTTCAATCTTTGTTTTACTGGAAGCTTTCTTTCTAGTTCCAGGAATCTTTGTTTGCTTGAGTATCTTATGTGCCAAAACTAACTCCTGTTTGTAAATAAGCTGTCTCTACATGCACTACAGAGATAAATACTGCGGAGTAAAGTAATCCCTGAGACAGTTTTTTATCATGCTGCAGAAGCATGTCACAGAAATGGATGTAACAAGAACCAAGTGGATAGTATTTTGCAAATACTGTACATTAACTGTCCTTATTTATAACCAATTATTTTGAGTCTATTTGATATCAATTTATATTTTCATTTGTCAGTGTTGACAAATTAACTGATTTCTAGATTTTCACTTCTAGAGAAAATTATTATTTACACATACAGCTTCTTGAGGTCTAAAATAATGCACCAGAGGCTGAGCCAAAACTCAGAGCTGCTTCTGTGTGCTGAGGATTGGGCAGCAGTTGCCAGCACTTTTCTTTGGACCTGTACCTTTGAGCTCCACCTTGTGTAATTACTTTGCCATGTTTGCAGCAGCTGGCTGAAGGGACTAGCTAATGAATGTGTTGAAATCAACATGGATTCTTTTTATCAGATTCAGTGTGATTCTGTGGCAAAGGCTCAGTGCTTCTGTACTACAGAAGCTCCACCTGAACTAACTCACAAGAGTAGCAATCCTGCTTAAGCAAATGTCCTCAGTAGTATCTCACGTCTAAAACTCTGAACAATTTCCTCATATCCTACCAGAGAATTGTGATGCTAAAAAAATTAGAAATTAAACCCTCATTATTTGATTGTCCTATACTGCCAATTGTTGTTAATGTTATTTTAACAATTTATGAGCCTACTGTCACAGATTTTTTCTTTCTTCTTTATGAGAAAAATTGGAATGAAGTATCAGTCAACAAAATTGTTGAAAGACCACTAACTCTAGCAAGTACTCATGGGTAAAGTACAAATACAGTGAAATACTGAAGAAAAGGACCGTGTTGAATTTCCAGGAAATACAGACAAGCATTTGAGACATATTTTACCACAGTAGCGACTGTATCTGCTTAAGGAAACTTCCTCAATCTCTACACCAATATAAAATGTACCTATAGAACATTTCATTCTTCAGTCTCACTCTAGAAGATGTAATATCTCGTAAAAGTCTTATAAATTTATAGAGGTCTTGCTTAAAATTGGCAAAAGGTGCTCACTATTTGCCAAAGTTGTTAATATTAAGCTGGTGCCAGTCTTAAATCCTTGAAAAGAAAATGGTGTTGGGACTAATGCTGTATTTGGAGAATGCTCTGCTTTTTACAGAGGAAAACAGTTTTTCATACTAGAAATTGTCTCTGTGGGGTGTTCAGTCTTCTCTAGAACATCATATAGAGCTAGATGCAGCTTTGTCCCATATTTTAAAATTAGACATTATGGAACAGCAATTCTCA